CGGCAACAGGCATCAAGGTCCGGTTGGATAGCCTGAAACTTGATGTACATCAAAGACGGGAGGAAGTCAAGACTCTGGCAAAGGGTCGCCTGAAGCAAACAAAAGCAAGTGCGATGCGGATAAACCAAGCGGAATTGGATCTGCAGTCTGCAGATTTCAGGGCTGTGTCAGCCAGTATTGAGGGCACCAATTTCGATGACATCGAGCAAAACAAAGACGACATCATATCGTCCTTCCAACAGCCCGTGGCTTCCGTTGACCTGTCTCGATTTACTATTCCTGATCAAAACCTTGATTGGATAGACATGGACGATTTTGTGGAGCTGGATTGGATACTGCCTCAAGAATCAAACCCTCGAACGCAGATTTTGCCTTTGGCGTTCACGCCGCGGTTTACCTATTTCCGACAGACAGACCACGGCGAAATCGCGCCTGATGAAACGGGGTATAGCACCTTTGGTGATGAACCAACCCATGAATGCGTCATGTCGGAGAATAATGAACCTCGTCGGGTACAAATGGAGCTCATCCGAGACCGACTTGCTGTCGTCGAGGCGCAGACTCGCGACTGTAGTCGTACCATCGGCGAGCAGGAACTCCGTCTTGCCAAGGAGGTCGATCCTGACCCCGCACTTAAGAGTCAGCATAACGACTATCTTAGGCAGGCAGAAACACTAAATCGAAGACGGACTTTCCTTACTGCCGGGCTTCAGCGGATTGAGAGGCAACTGGCGCGGGAAGAAAAGCTCCCAACGGAGAGGAACCCCGAAGCTTTCGTTCAAGACAGCGCTTCCCGGATGGGAACAGACTCCGACTCGACGAATGATGGCAAGGAAGCTGATATGGATGGCTTATACTCCACTCCTGACGATGATCTGGCAAGTGACTTCAACAACAGATTCATCATCCACAACATCCAGCTGAAATGGAACAATTCTCTGAGAAACATCATCCTGCGCTATATTCATCAAGTCAGCCAGCGCCGGGGATTTGTGTACTACATGTCTCGCAGAGCTGTAAAGTTCATTCTCGACATTGTCGATGAACAAAACAAGAACAAGCAAAAGCATTCTAAACTGTTCCGGACTGCCTCAAGACGCCCATCAGATGCTGGCGGACTTGTCGACAGCGAGGATGATGACAGTATCGAGGATCGGATCGAACAGTTGTTGAGTGATGCAAAGCGCTATGTGAATGCAGAAGAGCAAGAGCATCATTCTGACCAAAGGAGACACAGCGCCGCCAAGTCTGATGGGTTCAGCGAAAATATCGCGCCGGAATTCACACCTCAGAACAGCTACCATCTGCGTCTCATTGCTCCACAGATTCAATTGCAGAGTGAGAAGAATCAGAAGTCCGTGCTGGTAGTCGCCGCGAAAGGCATGCAACTCCAAGTCGTGTCAATCATGGACAAGGAGCGGGTGTCCGACGACGTCAGTGGTCTCGTGCAGCGTCGCTTTTCACTTTGCATGGACGGTGCCCAGTTCTTCGTGGCTACGCAAAAGAGCCTGATGAATCATTTGCAATTCTATGCTGGCAACAAATATGGAAATCCCCCGGGATCCGCATGGCCACCCTGGCTAAACCTTGAGGCACTATTCGATTTCGAACTAAACCCGTTCGGCTTTTCAAGGATCATACAGAAGACTTCGGCTAGTCTGCGGTACGACAAGTACAACAACCTCCGCCTGAAGTACAATGAGGAGGTGGCGAAGGGGCAATCAGACCAACAGTATAGTATGCAAGATACGGAACCGAGGATGGACCATATTAGCGTCGACTTTCCTCACTTCCGTGCCATTTGCGACTCCGCCGAGTACTACTCTATGTACATCATCATTCTTGATCTTCTTCTCTATAACGAGCCTCTTGAGAAGGTTCGAAACGAGCGTCTGGAGAGGATCATGCTCACATCCGATTTCAGTGATCTGAGAGGTGCACCGGAGATGGTTTTCAAGCTTCAGTCTCGCATCCGACAGCTGGAAGAGATCAAGGAACATTTCCAGATCCATGCCAAGTACTTGGATAAGCAAGGCTGGGAAGACCGGCTGGTGCTGGAGAAAGATCTGACTCAATGTGAGGATGAGCTTTTCTTCTTGATGAAGGCTATTACCTCCTCTCAGAGGAAGATTGACCCGAACATGTCGAAGACACAAGGCGTCCTCCGCTGGAACATTTCTGCAAGCGAAGTGGTGTGGCATTTGATGAAGGACCAGACAGAGCCGCTGGTTGAGTTCCAACTCAGGAATGCTGAATATGACCGCACGGACAATAGCGATGGCTCGAACCATAACCTAGTTGCAGTTGAACGATTGTATGGTCTGAACCTTCTTCCAGATGCTATCTATCCTCAGATCATCGTGCCTTATCTCGATCAGGCCCGGGGTCTGAACGGCCCTGATGATTGCATGATCAAGGTGAAGTGGCATATGTTGGAGGCAGTTGCCGGTATTCCTGTCTTGGACGACTTTGAGGTGTCCCTCTTCCCTCTCAAGGTTCAGTTGGAGCGGGAACTCGGCCAAAAGGTGTTCGAATACATGTTCCCTAATGTCGGATCTACTGCATTCGAGAACGGCGGATTCTCGCCGTTCATGATCAAAAACATGAAGCCGCTCGATGATTCATCTGATTCTGATGAAGAAGAAAGCCCGACCGCTCATGCACACCAGGATAACAGTGATCTTTCAACCGACGATCTGCAGCTGAAGGGTCCAGGAGCAATTGAGCTGAGGCTGCAACCAACGCTGTCGCTATCGGAAGAGGCCAGACCGAAGTCTCATCATCGGCAGCTCAGAGGCCTCGCCATGACCCCTCTCCACAAGGATACTAAGGACAACAACCACATCCGACCCTCAACGAGTGGCGGTTTGACAAAGAAACGATCAGTGGACAGTCTGCGCATATTGTCTAGGCAGCCCACAGAAAAATCCGTCGCTAACACATCGGGTGGTTCAGGAAATAATGAAGAGAAAAAGAAGTTCGCACTGGGAAGACTACCGAACAAGGGCAAAAAGGAGACTCCTGATGATCTGTCCCAGATGATGTCGCGCGCGTCAAATTACATGACGCTCGCCCATGTCAAGGTGCATGATGTAGTGCTGTGTCTGAGCTACAAAGGCAAGGGAGAGCACAACATAGAGGATCTCCACGACTTTGTTTTCCGGTTGCCTGTCTTAGAATACCGTAACAAAACATGGTCGAATCTTGACCTGGCCTTGCGATTGAAGAAGGATGTTATCAAGGCTCTAATCTCGCATGCGCCTGCCATCCTTGGGAACAAGTTCTCACACCACCGGCCTTCAAAGCAGCAGCAGAAACGATACCGGGAGCTAGCCAGCTCAACCCAGCTTGTACACTACTCCGATACCGCGGTGAATGTGTCTGATAATGCTCATAGCATGGCCAGTGCAGACTCGAACAGCGAATATTCAGAGTCACAACGTTCTGGCAAGTCTGGCACTGGCAGTTCTCCGCTTGTGCGATCAAACTCTCTCGGATCCAGTATGCTCCACGAGCCAAGCGGAGTGATACCGGACTCTCGTTCTGCGAGCGAGGTTGACGTGGATGCCCGCTGGGAGGTATGTTGAATGAAGCAAATGTGAAAGGACGTCGCTAATCAGCTTTTAGCAATCACGCCGAATCGTCAACCCACCCACTCGACCCATGACTTCAGGCAATGCTATGCCCAGGTCACAGACAATCAAGACCTGGGATGAGCCGGAAGAAACGTGAGTAATGCCTGTACTAAATTCATCGTTTCCAAGCTAACAATCCATTAGGACTAGTCATAAGACATCCATCCGCAATTTTGGTCGGAAACTGATACCTTCTCGAAAATGAGCCCGCGTCGCTCTATTTAGCTGGCTGCCACGCCGGCTAACTTTCGCATCATACATGTCCTCTATTATAATCCGTCATTTTGTTATCTGCACATTACTGGCCTCGCATTTGCCGTGTGATACCCCCAACGCAGTGGGTCGTATATAGGCGTCAACGCTTTTGGTTTCCTGTTTCCATCGACGAATGATCGATGTCTCCAGGTGTTCCAGGGGTATAGTGTGATTTACTTCACTTCTTGTGTAAAGTTGATTATATTTGGTTTTTGTGTGGAATAGATTAATCTTATTTTGCGAGTGGCGCTGTCTGACACTTGCTTTCCCACTTGGTCTGTTATTGCTGGTGTATTGTGTACGAAGAAAGGGTTACGGGAGCACAGGGCTCTCTCACTGTTATTTTGACAAAGCGCCCGCGCAGTGGACATAACATATCTATGAATCGTATAGGATAGGATAGGGAGGGACAGAAAAGAGGCGCAACGTTGTTTTTGCTAGCTACTGTGCTTACTTCGGAGATGCTAGTACCTCTACCAAATCACATACAGCTTGAATAGACGAGAACATCCACTCTTTGCCCATCAGTCTGAGTCTGGCGTGGTGAGCTTCAAACATGCATGGCATTTCCCTGGCCGGGCGCCAACATGGCGACTATCCCAAATTGTCCGCGGACAGTTCTGATCCTTTTCTGTAGCTGGTCCACATCGCTCAAGGCCATCACTGCCCATATGTCCGCATTCCATGTAGGTGTACACTTTATGAGAGCACATCTTGTTTCAGAGACGACAGTGATAGTAGGGTCAATGTGATGAATGCACTCAGTACGTACAGTAGTAGACAAGGTAATGAAAATGTATAAAAGAGGGCAGAATGGGTAGTATAAATACGCCTAGGAAGATCAAGGTAAATGTTCCCAAACCTTTATTGTCTAGGGAACAGCCCTTTCATTTTGTTTCTATCACCGGGATGAGCCATATGCTAGTATGGTAGAGCGAGAAAAGTGCCTTCAGTTGCTAGTCACTAGTCAGATAGAAGCTTTATTTGCGCGCGGGTTTTCCCAGAATATGACAGGCGTACTAAGTAGTGATAAATTGGTCTGGCATCGACTCTCATTTATTTCGTGGCGGTCCGAGCCCTGATATCGCAGTTCATTCACTTCCATCCTTTATGCTTACGAGGGGGGTGCCTGTTCCAGTAGTACAAAGCGGAATAAATCGGTTCGGGCCCAGATAGGGTCTGTGTAACATAAGGCATAATCTCTCTGCAGGACACGAGCATTGTTGTTACTGCCTGGGAAGATGCCTATTCTTGGTTGAGCCCGGTCGACGATCGTCTCTTCATGTTAGAGCTTGGTCTCTGGTTCCCTGAAATAAATTAGCTATAGTCTTCGATTATTACCTTCTACCATTATTGCTACAGTTGACGACAGACTCAATCATCTCGCAAGACCTTATGGACGAGACACTCCCAGACGACAAGGCCATAACTGTCCCAGTTCCTGCGGTTGATTTGACGGTCGAAAACCGGTTTCAGGCACTCAATGTAGCCGATATCAGTCACTTCGTTGTTCAGTATGTAAAGCTTCGTGTTGAGTGGTGACTGACACCAAGTGTCTCTTCATCGATTCCACGTGTTCCAAGCTAATGAATCCTGTCTCAAAGGCTGTCTGATAAACGACTGGATTTAATCATGCAGTCCTGCGCAGGTCCCAATTATGACTTCGACAAGCCTTGGCCGTTCTGGTTCTTCATTGGGAAAACCCTATCGAAGGCGTTTCTGGGGAATGAGGATCAGCTCGAGTGGTTTAATGCTGTGAGGGTCAGAGATCGGGAGTTTATTACTTTAACCAATGTTGGGAGAGAGAATAGTTTGGATTCCCGGGAGATGAACCATGACCTTGATGAAAAAAGGGATCCGGGTGGTTGAGGTCGATTTCTTGAAGCCGGTGCCGGGTGAGCAGCTCAAGGCGTTTTGGAAGCCTGCGAGGGGGATCATTGACCAGAAGGTTCGAGAGTGTGAGTGGATCGTACTAAAACTTGATCTAATATTTGTTGACCCTCTACATGTGTAGGGATCGAGGACGAAAGGAGCAAAGCACAGCATCAAGAGGGAGATCCTGCTTCCGCGGTATGAGGTCTATTCAGTGATGCAAGATTTGATTACGTCTTTCTTCCATGTCTATGTAAGTGCAATGCAGAGTATATCATGTGAAAGTCTGGCCATGACCTTCCAACTGGTCCATAATTGCAGCTGTAATATGCAGACTATTCCAAGTCTTCAAGAACGCTCTCACATAACCGTCTAATCTGTCCCCATCGATTCAACAACATCTGCAGCTTCTCTCGTTCCCATGCTTTTGATCCTATTTTCTTCTCACTATCCCCGAGCTCTTCTCCAAGATCTTGAATCATATTCTCAATAATTTCTGTCGTCCCAATGCATTCCTTAAGATACACCTCCACCCAGCCTCGTATCACGTTCGCGGTCTTCTGCTCGTCGACGCCCCGCTCTGAGCGTCCGCATACGTATGCGCGCCAGTCACGGGTATTCATGTATTTTAGGCATGCAGCGTAGTGGAGGGGACTTTCGGAAGATAGGGGATGGGAGAGGGTGTAGTTTCTTTTGGTATACTAAGTCAGTATTGCGTATCCAGATACATGGTTGTTTTCTAGGGTGTAGGGTTTAAGGGGGAATGAATGAAAAGGTGATTATGCTCACCCGAAAATCTCCTGTTTCGCTAACTCCTGTTTCTGTGATATGCTAAGATCTTGGAATATAATGTCGTCGAGGTAGATGCAGTCGGAGGGGTTAGTGGAGAGGGTGAAACCATCTTTGTTTGTTAGTTGTATGGATTGAGAATGAGATGTTGGGATTGATAGAAGGGTATAGACTGACACTCAATTAGAAGGAAGTCGTTTGAGTGGTTGCCATAGCTCATGTAGACTTCTTCGCCTTTCTCTGAATGATGTTAGTCCTCTGCACTCATAGTATGGAAGGGGGAGAGAGTACCGTATCGCCGCGTTGCTCGGAAGGTATACTTCTTTCCGTCAAAATTGACTTCGCATGCCTGTGTATAATCAATATCATACGCCCTTATACAGATGGTACATAGGCAAAGGGATAAACCCACCGCATCATCAACATGATTAAAGTAGTCTGCAAACGGGACCATTCCAATCGCATCATTCCAATCCTCTGGCTCATCTTTCCCAGGCGAGACATAATAGAAACTCCTCGAATTGATAATGCACCAGTAATAGGCGAACGTCTTCCACTCTGTCTCAGGATAGACTTTGACGACATTTGCCCAGGCATCTTTTAGTCGCTTTTCTTGCTGGCTGAGTAGGTTCTGGTATCGTGTGTCGTAGTCCACACCTACGGGGACTTTGGGGAAAGTGTTCCACTGTCCTGAGATAGAAGGTGGGAGAAGGACTTTTCCTCGATTTTGATCTTGATCTTGCTTCTCTGGTGAGGAAGAGTCGGCGTTGCCTCCATAGCTTGAATTCGATACCCGAAGATGTGCCGGCCAGAGAACCGGCATGCTGTCTTCGAACTCGTCATACGAGGGCCAGACACTCCGCCAAGCCTCGAGGCTCTTAAGAAGAGATGGGTCCCCGTGCGTGAGAAACGCAGCCATTATCCCGTGGATGGATGTTCCCGTGGGGAATTGCGAGGTAAATGATGATGGGATCGAGTCGATAGTTAGCATTAGGTCCACAGGGATCGTGAGCATTATCTCATTGTTCTGGGCAAATTAGCAATGCACCACAATATCCCATTCCTAGTCTAAGGAGTACAGTCTCAGCAGCCTACTTTTATTGTTCGCGTCGCCTTCATCCCCAAACGTCGCCCGGGGAATCGTGCCGGCGTGACACCCTTTATCTTGATCCCTGACGCTTCGGCCCATTGCATAAACGCAAGATGCTCGTCACCGGGTGAATCATCCATCTTCTATTTTGTATTCTTCACTATTGGACCGCGCCGTTGGAATCTGTTGACGCTTGACTCCGATAGGAATCGTGGATGATTGATGGTGTAGTTCTGCACCGATTAGATAAGCCGATCGATAAGGGAAATTTTATCCCGCATCAACAACATCAACATCGGGTGGGATACATCCCTTGCAGGATTTCTATTTCTTTTGCTCACTTACTCACTTCTAGCTTAATTCTACAGCTGCACTGCACTGCGCTGTGCTACATTACTGCAAAGAGCAGCAACACACCATGGCCACCCCCACAGACGCCCCTCCCGACTCCCACATCGACCATGCCGCCTCCCTCCGTTACTGGAACTCCGTCGCCGCCAACACAAAGACCATGCTGGGCATGCTAGGCTCGTACCCATGGTACACGCGCATCGATCTCAGAGGATCTAAGACTTTTTTCGGCAAAGTCCGCCGTATGATCCCCAATTGCCCGACGGAGGGGAAGCTCCCTCTCGGCGTGGACTGCGGCGCGGGCGTGGGTCGCGTCACCGAGGGTCTCCTCAGCCAAGTCTGCGAGCGCGTCGATGCCGTCGAGCCCATTGAGAAGTTCACCGAGGTGATTCGCAACTCGGAGCTGAAACGCACTGGTGTTGTCGGGGATATCTACACAATGGGTCTGGAGAATTGGTATCCTGAGAAGAACAAGTACGATTTGATCTGGACGCAGTTCTGCGTGGGACATCTTACGGATGTGCAGTTGAGGGAGTACTTTGTTCGATGTCGGGAGGCCTTGACGGAGACGGGGATAATGATCGTGAAGGAGAATCAGTCGACGGATCCGAATGGGTGGGATATGTTTGATGAGGAGGATAGTAGTGTTACGAGGACGGATGAGAAGCTTCGGACTCTGTTCAAGGAGGCCGGGTTGGTGCTTGTTGCGTCGGAATTGCAATTGGGGTTCCCGAAGAATTTCAAGCTGTTGCCTGTGAGGTTTTACGCGTTGAGGCCGTCGACTTGAGAGGACGTTGGGAGTTGATTCAGTGATGTGAATACAGCGGTGCTGTCCACCTGGTTTGCTGGAGGCGCTGGTATCGTCTGCTGCTGGGACTTGAGAGTGAATGCAGATTCCGATGACTTAGGAGCCGAGGCTCGTGTCCGACTATCAGTGTGGACGCTGGCATTAATAATGCCACTCCAGTTGAAGCGGACGCGAAGTGGTGCGCAGCCGATGATTATGCTGCAACTTTGCACTGTAATGAGACACTCGCTGAGTGGACCACTACGTGGACGATATACCTAGATCGTGCTGTGCATACCCTTGGAGTGAACATGGCAAGGAACACCTGTCGCGCGGCTCTAATCACCTGTTGTGAGTGGATCGAAAGGCAGAGTGCTTGTTTGGATTGGTACGAAGTATCAAATCTATCTATGCTAGCTGCAGAAAGTGATGCCAATGCTAGATCAACAACCCTGGGAGACATGCCGCAATCGACAAGAATGAGTCTGTCAATGCTATGCAGTCTCTTAACAGGGGCTAAAAGCATATCCAATAATGTAAGAAGCAGTGGGAACAAGCAGGGTATCGGTGCATATAGTACAGTGGCTCAGGCCGTCATAAACATTCCATCATAACATATTTTTGGGTCTTCATCACTCAGCTAGCGGTCTGGTAGCGTCACGGCCGGAAGAATTGAAACGGCTCTGCGGCCATCTGGGCATAGTTCAATGATCACTCGGTGTAGACGGGGGAGCCTGCTTTTCTCGGAACCAAGGCACGAAACTTGGCAGATGATCCTGCATCGCCTCAAGCCTGGTCCGACCACCACTGGGGGCATCAGGATCATCGGTGTATGGGATGCCTCCCTGGCCCCGGTTTTCTGCCCAAGCCTTTTTCTCGCGCCGAAGGTCGCTTTGGACCCATGGTATCGTGACCAACGTCCAGAGGCCAGCCCATGCGAACGGTAAGGACCATCCTAGCTACACATCACTTAGTACCAAGTTGTTGACAGTTGCTTGGAATCACTTACAGTGTATGCAACTGGCTCCGAAACAGTAAATATAATTGCCGTAATGGCGGCAGCGACAACGATAGATCCTCCAGCCCAGAAACAGTTCATTTGGAACAGCATACGCCGGAAGTACGGGCTCGATAGGTATCGGGTGCGAAGCGCATATCGGTAGATCTGACCACCACCTCCATCAACTGCCACTACATCCTCGATCAAAACATATAGGGCGGTCGGCATTGTCGAGCCTTTAGGCGTTGATGAGATCCGGAAGGGTGCTTTAACACCACAAACACGAAGGATGTCGAGTGCCAGATACATGCTGCCGAAGTAGAACATTACCGTCGGAAGGACCATGGCGACTAATCGGACTATTGACCACGAGGGTTAGCCAGGACACGAAGAAGATGGAAGGAATAGGTTTTACCATATGGTTCTTGTGGAACGGTTCCTCTGTGATGATGTCAGTATAGTCCGTAGACAAATGGATGGAAACACCTACACAATCAGCTCAACTGCCAGTATCAACCAGACGATGGTGAAATTGATATGAAAGAAATCCAGCTACATCCGGTCAGCACCCACTTCCAGCGAATTGTAGCCACGGAAAGCATACCCATCCCTTCCTGGCGTTCAATGGCCGTGCTCGCGAGTCTTTCCGGAACAAGTTGTAGAGACGATAGAAGTATTCGAATACCGATACACCTCCTAACGATGCCGTCACAATACTGAAGACTATAGGATAATCAATGAGTTGGTGATGAGAGAATGAGATACAGAAGCAAATCTTCACGTACCCAAGTTATGCGAAAGATCAGTGGCGTACCAGAGCGCCCAGTAGAGGACGAGCGGCTGGGCCAAAGTATCAATCACAAAGATTGTCCAGAAGATGGCGATGGACTTCTTCCTCGAGCGCAAGGAGTATGGGAGCGGCGGAGGCTCAGGACACGCAGCGGGCCTCGATTCTTCGTCCATCGAGTTGGCAGTCGTGGTGCGGGTGGGCGAAGTTTAATCTGTCAGTCTCACGCAATCTGCAATGACCGGGTCTAGGGTGATAGTATTCGAGAGACAAGGGAAGACATGACGGGAGAAACGGGAATGGGGATGGGAGGAACAGGAAGGACAATTCCCAGATGAAGTCAATCTGAATGACGAGAGATAAGCCAGACAGGCCGGAAACGACGGCAGGGACGCCTCGTAAACGAGCCCAAGGCTTTTTGTGGAAGTATTTTGCCATCGGCGGATTCGGGTTGGTTTTGGCCGTGATGCCTGACGTAACCGGGCCGTGATGTCATGCTGCTAGTGGTCGATCCCGCGCGCTCCAGACCGGTTCTGCACAGGGTTTGGTGAGACATCCTCGTTGCTTTGTTTCTTCATTCTTGTGATATACCAAGGGGAAGAGGACAGACATCCTCATATTCCCAGTACTCACGGACCACGGCTGGAAGTCTGGTCGTCTTCCATAATAATGTTGTGCCAGGGGCGGTTCCGCGGATGCCAGAAGAAGACAAGTTGAGAATGGTTTGCTGGCTTTGCAGAATATAAAAGTATCAGAAGAGTTACTGGAGCGCATTGGATAGGTTACAGCCAGTGATCATCACTTATACCACTTAGCAAGGGCAATGATAATGCTTGAGGTTTGAACACAGTCCCTGACTTCGGTCCCTAAGGGACTTGATTAACAAATGATCCACTCCCAGCCCAGTCCCCACTAGCCCCATTTCTCTCGGGTACAACCAGTCAACCAGTGATCCAATCTATGAGATATTGAAGACTCGTGAATTTGGCGGACCTGACCGGCCAATCTTAGTGACAAAAACACCTGACTCGTAGAGAATAAACGCAGAAATGGAAGTCACAAGATCAAAAAAGATACAGCTGAGTAGGTTCTATTCACGATCTTAGTACTACCACTACTAACCATGAATCTTGTTATCGTGCGGAATATGCAATGACTGAGCAGTACTATGACCTGCGGAAACCTCTTACTGTGTAACAGTCCACTCTATCTTGCTGCACACCATGCTATTAATCAATGGACCCTGCCGCACAATGAATGATTTCTCTCAGAACATGTCACAATACTCACTCCGCCTTTTCGCTATATTTTGTATCCAGCTGACCTTTGTCTGACCTTCTTTCTTTCTTCACCAATTCTAATTTCACGCTTTACCGCCACTGAAAGATGATCTTCCGGTAACGACTGTCACGAACTTCTTGAGAAAACATTATGCTAATAAAAGTAGCAAGCCTTCCCCTCCAATCGAGGCATCTGTCTCAAAATTGAGCCCGGATACATATCAGATGGGCTCTAAGTTTCTTTGCAAAAAGACTACAAGCGGGATTCCCAATACTGCAGTTGCTAGTTGGGACGAGGGTGATGGGCAGTTCTACATAGTTGAAACTACCAGTGCCAACTCATTAGGGGAGCCAGCCGATGGCCTCATCTACCAGGCTGGCTTGTCATCCGCTGTCTGGGAGATCGAGACACAGGCGATCTGTAAGGTCAAGACATGGTCTGATTGTGTGGGAAGAGAAAGCGACACACTTGCTTTCATCGCATCCAGGTTCCCACATATCCCCATCCCTGAGGTGATCTATTCGTGGACCGATGAGAAACTCAATAGGTCCTTCCTAATCTTGCAACGGATCCAAGGGCAAACTCTGGCGAGTGCCTGGCCGTCTCTAACTGCAGAGCAAAAAGCTGAGGTCGCTTGCACCGTTGCGGGATACTGCCGCGATCTTACCGAAGAAACCTCGGAGAAGCTACAGTCTGCAACAGGCTGTGGAGTTCTCGAACCTTTCCTAACCGTGCATCCAGAAGCGTCTCACCCGTCCTGGAAACCCCGACCATTGGGTCCCTTCTCTTGCATCGCAGCTGAGAAGTATTTCAACAAAATATCAACCCTGCCGGCACCCCCTATAGGAGACAAGTTTCATTTCTATCATTCTGACCTTAGTCCAACCAATATTCTCCTCACAGACGATGGTGCTGTGAAGGCTATCCTAGACTGGGAGTCAGCTGGGTACTATCCGAAGTTCTGGATTCCTCTTAAGCCGTATCGCAGTGGGGGGTTTAACCTCGATATTGCAGACGATTCTCGTTACGACTGGACCGATCTTCTTGAGTCAAAACTCTCTGACATAGGATTTAAGCTCGACCACAATCATGTTAAGTGGCAGAAATCATTGGACCGTACTTTCTACGATGTACACAAGATTTGTGACGCATCTTCCTGATTATTTCTACCCTATCCATATTCTCTGCCTAAACTAAGCACAAGTGTTCTCACCACCTACTTCCGGGTCTAGCCAATCCTGCAAACCTAACCGACATATAACTGGCCTGACGAGAATGAAGATGTTTCATGGGTAGAGGCTGGTCCTAGCAGCGAACCTGGGCCGTGGTCTGTAGTACTCCTTGTGAAAACTGAATGTTACACGGTATAGATTAATGTAAATCTCATGTAAGGGTTGATCGCAGGTTCGATTTCCAATCATACAGCAGAGTGTAGTTCACATCCAATATGGATAAAGATGAACCTAGCATAGTCTGGAGCGGGTAGTCGGACAACTAGGTACACAAGACACTAGCCCAAGGATGGTAGTAGTGAAGCCTGTCTGGAAAGGTATGAGAACATCCTAGGGACTAGACTGGGATTTCGAGGATCTTAGTTGTAGTAGATCTGAACCTCTGCACTCATGACAGAACAATGAGCTTGTTTAATAGTACTGTCAGGTGATACCTATGGTGCAGCATGTGCATTGGCAGACTAGAGAGATACGTAGAATAGCGCCCCATAATCACTACCTACAATGGTTCTTTCCAAATGAAGCTTATACAAAAACTGCCAGCTTTGGATCTCTAGTCTCTTGCCAGCAGGTGACCGAGCCATTAGCGAATGCACCACTGAAGAATTCACACCTGAAGTTCACGGCACAGGCATAGACATCGATATTACATAATAAGTGTTGCATATAATTCACGTGACAGCCTTCCGCCACCCCCGCGGCGGGTTCGGGCTTCAACGTCGCATATCCTCCGCGACGCTGGTTCGAATCGCGCCTCTGTCTCTGCATCTTCCTCCATTTTCTGCTCCCCAACCCGTTGTCTGGGAGATGGATTGACCTCAATTCCTGTTGGTCGAAATTTGAATGAGACAGTCTGGACGCTGACATGGCCTAAGATGGCCCCGAGTCTACGCGATTTGATTGATTTTCTCCTTGCGGAGATTGCCCTCTGCGGCGATCAAGGTCAGTTGCTCGTCTTTTCCAATTTTCTTCCGATCGTGACGGTCTCGAATAAATCCCCACCGACATGGCCAACCCCTGCATGCGCCATCCGTCTGATTGGACCATGACGGAACATCCAGCTCGGGTCTTTTCAACGGTGAACCTTGCCTTTGGATACCTGCATAAACTTTATCTGTTATAATTGCATTGGTTCTAGTACTATTAGGACTAGTCAACTAACCTTCTTCAGGCGCTTCTCCTGCCGATATACTAACCTTTACCGATACTTTCTATGCCAAGGCGGCGCAAGATGCAGCTGGCCGCAAGCACACCGTGGACCGTCGGTTCCAGGAGAAGGTCTGGTCCTGGTTAACGAAGAACCCAGAGGTATCCGTTGGCAAAGACAGAGAAGGAAACCATCTCAGCCTCCAAGATGCCAAGCGTGGTCAAACCAATGCAGAGACAGACCAAACCGCCAACGGAGCATCGGACTCGGTCCGGGTGTTTGTGTCTAAAGAGCGAACCTGGCTCGCAGTAGCTGGTCACGGACCGGATGAAACCAAGGTGTTCCCCACGGAGTTTGCTCTACTCTCTATCATTGCATCGCGCAAGCACAATGGCATTGCGCAGACAGAACTAGTCAAAGTCAGTGGCCAGGACAAACGTTCCGTGCCGAAGCGTACGGATGTTCTGCAGCAAAAGGGTTACATCGAGAAACGGGCCATCCAAGTCAAGTCCACTCGTACCAGTCTTTGTACCTTGCGCAAGTTCTTGACACCAGAGCACGCCCCTGTAGACAGGGAGACTGGCCAGAATTCAAATGCGACCAAGCAAGAGAACATGATCGATTTCAAAGAGTTCCTTGATCAGCTCTTCCAGATCCTTCAGGAATACCAGATAATTTCTCGCAATGATCTGAAACAGAAGCTTGGATTTGAGGATCACTGGCGCTGGAGGATCTTATCCCGTGCGCTTCGGAAGTTCGAACGTATCGGCGTCCTCAAACGTGTTCGAGCTTTGTCCCAGTATGCCGATACTTTGAAGAAGTTCCACCCTTGCGTCATGCTCATACGAGAACCAACGGAGAGAGATTTCGAACTGTTCAACGAATTCAGTCGCGGCATACTTTCCAATCTAGAACAGGAAGATAATCTCGATATTGAGGATGATATGGAGCAAGATGGCACATCACAGAGCCCCTTGCAGCCAGATAGCAACGGCACAGTCGGTCTAGTGAAGCGCGAAGCAGTAGAAGAGGCTGGCCGGATTCTCCCCTCTTGGTCGCCAGATAGGAACATACACAATCAGATCTTTGAGACTGTTGATCAAACAGGAACCGACGGTATCACCAATCAGGTAAGCACCTGACAGATGACTGGTAATAAAGACCCTGAGCAAACGTTGACTGAAGCTACCTAGGGAATCCTGAGAGCCTGTTTTGGCGGCTACTTTAGAAGACCTTTGGAGAATGCAGTGAGTCGTCTCGTAGAATGCTGGCAGCTATCCCAACCTCCGCACCTGCGCCATCTGGCTATCGTGAGAGACACGGCGCTCCAGCGCACTATCACTCACTATGTGCATTATACTGCTATGAACTTCAAGCAGCTAGTCGATTCAGGGGAGGCGCTGTGGGAGGCGGTTGAATTTTCCGCGAAAAAAGCGAAGTCAAGCAACGCGCACATTCATCCCGTTGATGCTGTTCCTCAACTTGATGCTCATGGGCTCACCCTCGCTGTGCCAAAGAAGGAATTGTTGAAGGATGGCAATGTTACACTGCTGGAGTGCATATCGGTAGTCAAGCCGGCAAACTACGTCTTTTCCGGCAGCGATGCCGTAGCGGCACGCTTGGAGGATGGAACATACACGATCCATCAACGTATTCGGGGTTCTGGTGACTCAACTGCGCAGCCTTATGCCACGCCGGTTAGGGTGAAGATAGAACGCCAGGATGGCTCTGATACAGAGATGGCTGACGTGCCCTCTGTAAAACCGGTAAAAAGCCGTCCAAAAAAGTCACAACTAGACCCCGAAGCCTTCCGAGGCATGTCTGAAAAGGAAAAGCTTGAGGCTCTTGGTTTGGATGATACTTGGACGGAGTACAGTGTCCTACTCATAGAACGCGCCGGGCCGGGTGTGTACATTACTTCGCGTGGACGTCGGCGACCGGCTGGCAAGAGGCAGGGGCGCCCGAAAATTAGCCGGATCGCTGTATTCAAAACACCGAAGCTGGCAACTCTGCCTTGGTTCCAGAAAGAGACGGCCGAGCCGGATGACGAGTCTATACTTGTATCCAGGAAGACTCGTTTGCAGGCCAGCGGACGGCCTCAGGCCTCTCCTGCAGTTGATGATGATGATGCTCTCCTACCCCAATCTACTCCTCCAGCTCTTTCTGTTAGAGGCTCCAAAAGATTGCATGAGCGCGAGTCAGATACCGAACATGGAATGGAGGGTGAAAGTGCGCCAAAGCACCGTCGTGTTGAGCAAGTCAATAGCGACACACAAAATGTTTCGTCGACTGCAGAACTGCTCGAGCGTGAACCTGAAGGCACGCAGACGTCACCCTTGAGGCGAACAAAAAGAAAAAGAGCAGTGTCGCCTATGCTCCCAGAGGAGGTTGCCTCGCAGACAAACGGCGGCACTGTGTCAGATAATGCTTCGGCCCGGAGACTCCCTCGAAATAGCAATGGTCAAACCGCCGCTCGCAATGAGGATTTAGGAACCCCTTCCAAACGGACTCGCTCTGGACGAGCCTTACGGGACAAGAAAGGTACAACCACCCATTTGACTGCTGCTGAAACCGGAAAAGCCGATGCCGTTGAAGGTGAGCCTGATGCTTCCGCGGCTGAAAGGCCATCTGGGAGGGATGCCGTTACCAATGGATCTTCAGAAAATGTCACGGCCAGCGACGCGACTCAACAAAGCTTGACTGAACAAGCTGCGCCCTCCGCGGTCGAAGACGCGACAGAACAGAAAAAGAAAGGTGCCCCAGAAGTACCTGAGCCTTCTGGTAGAAAGCGAAGGATATTTGCAGAGAAAGGTGGTTCTGTCGCTGTTCTCCGAAGATCGATCGTCATGGATATCCTGGAACAAGCCGGCGGAGCGTATCCTATGGGTACAGAAATCTGGTATCCATTCATGACAGCCTGGCAAAAGAAGCGACACAAGGAAATACCCGATCTGCGCACAATCAGATCGGTCGTCAAAACCATGGTTGATGCCGGCAAAGTCCGGCAGCTGACCTTCAGTGGGCGAGACAGGAAGGGCGTCATGGTAACAAAGAAGATTATCTATAAGGCTGACATGAAGCCCGACGACCCCATGATTCTGGATATGCAAAAAGAAATGCTGGCCACAGATCGATACTACTTCCCCCCTAATGTTGAAATTGACCCAGAGATCTCGAAGAATGGCAATCGGGGTACGCCACGCAGAGATGAGAAGCTACTCTCCCAGCTCCCCGTGGAACGGGGTATTACCGTACAGCTGCACCAAAAGCCGGCAATGGTTCGCGCCGTGGAAAAACGGCGACGCCACATGCTGCGAAGCGAACTGTTGCAACATTTGAGTATGGGAGAGGAGTATGAGACAGCAGATGGTGCGGAGATCGTGCGACTGATGACTTTGAGTCGTCGCGGTGACCAAGACGATCCACGCGCATTGACATCCATCTCCCGACCGGGACGTGCGGGCGATGGGCCTAGACGAGGACAAAGACAGCAGGTGGAGGCAGGGCTGGCTTCACTGCGCAAGATGAGGCGATTGTGGTCTACTATAGCACCTCATGCGATGCTGATGAATACGAAGTCGACGTTCCATGGCACCACTGGAACTTTTGGTACGGAGGCTGGAATCCCGGCTATACAAGCTGCCAGAGACCGTGCGAAAGCGGTTGGGAGAAAGAAAACTCATGACCTACCGCATTCCCTTGATGACCTGTTCAGCCAGACGCGGAGACGAATCATGGACGACTCTGGAGAAGCTGACCCGCGATCACGCCAGTTCTTCCGGGATAACAATACTATTCTCAAGTGGGAGCTCAGCCACGAGGATTTGCTTCGTCGAAAGAGTGCAGATCTGTTCTATATCAACCAGACTGTTCAGAACATGGAGACTCCCGGCATCGAAGGCGATATTCGGTTCGATGTCGACGAGGAGGCCGGCGAGGTAGCTACAGAAGTGACACCCATGATTACTCGACATAAGGCACGCCTCGAACGTCAAACTTCACAATCGCGGCGAAGACGGTCCGAATCTGCTATGGAGCCTGGGCACCGTCGTCTTACCAAATTGAATGAGAGCATTTCTACTGACGGGAATAAGCTTGCCTCGGCCCAGCCCATCCCGCGCCAACCAACACGCCGGAGCCGTCTTGTCTCACAGATGCCACGCACACTAGTCCAGCAGTTCATAGCCGCAATCGTTGCTGTGCGCAGCTTAGCTGGAGGCTCCGATGCTCGTCTGGTTGATTGGTCCCTTCTCTGTTGTTGCTTCCCGGACATGGACCCAGCCTTTGTAATCCACCGAGCTAGGGGGATTCTTGGAAAATATCGCCTACAGATCGCCAAGATGCAAGGCGATTTCCAAGACAGGTTCATCGAGGCGTATGCTAATGACCAGGTCCCTCCCATTGACTACGACAACCTGGAAGGGTACGACTGGAAGGGGGTTATTGAGTGGGCGAACACGAAACTAGATGCACCCAAGTCCGAGAAGCTCCCCGATTTGCCTGCCACGCGAGAACAGTTTGACAGCGTCTTTGAACTAAGGGAGGAGGCGCTCGTGCCAATAGATGAACTGTACCAAACCAACCAGTCAATTACCATGGGCCGCAAGCGCGCCCTGATCGCTGGTGTCCCGTTCGCTGCTCCTTTGCCAGAGAAATCCAATCGGCCTCAACCGCGGAGCGCGGAGCTGTCACGCTTGGAGGTGGTCAAGACCTGGGTGCGGGCCAACGTGGTGACACCAGAGGAGAAGTATCGCCCGGCCGAGGCGCGACAGGCGCTGGAAGTCTTTGGAGAGCACGTGGTGCAGCAGGCGTTGCAGTCTCTGGTAACAGAACGAGCGCTCTCTATGGGCAACCGAGGTCGCATTACTCCAGGCCGCAACTACGACGTGACAGAATACTTCCTGTTGGCACTGGGCCGGCGGCGGGTCATCGAAAGTACCGAGCTGCGGCGGGCGCAGCGGTTCAAGACCGAGATACTAGATCCGACACTGCGCAAACAAGGATACATGGACATCGACTACAACGCGGAAGACGGCGACATGCTTGTAGTGATCAACCTATTTGCCACGGGTCGTGTGGTGCTTCACCCGCGCGATGTGCCGCGCGAGAAGTACGGACTTACGGACGGGGGCTACCTGACGCGGCAGATCGACAAGGACAAGCTGCGGTTCTCGATGGAGGTGCGTCCGGCCAAGTCGTATGTGTACGGCAACCCTATCCAAGAGAAGATGAGGAGCCTTGTACCACCGCGTCCACAGGGCATCGATGCGGCCACGCAGCTGCCGGCGAAGATACCGCTGTGGTACGACATCCACGGGTCGTTTGTCCGGGTGCTGTGGGACATGGCGTTGGCGGCGGTAGTAGGATGCGTAGCGACGCGGCCGGGGATCAATGCGAGTGTGATAGCGGGGATGTTGAAGCCGACGATGGGCGAGTGGGAGGTGCAGCTGCTGTTGGAGTGGATGGAGGGGGTGGGTGTGGCGACACGGCAATCGGGGTGGGTAGTACGAGAATGGTGGTGGATGGTATTGGGGGATATTTGATGATGTACATTTGAGTAGCATGATTCCAATTTAAATGACTGCTATGCTATAGCGGTGTAGTAGCTCACGACTTGATGAGTCGAGTTTAATTTGAGACACAAATTTTCATGTCCCTTACCACCTTCTACTAGTATATCAGACCCAAGGCTTGTCTACAGATAACACACACACCAGAAAATACCCTGAATTATCTCTCCATATCGCTCTATCACTATCCACACACACAGTCATCCCACAGATAGATAGCATTTGAACAGGACAAACCCCTTGAATGCTTCCATCCCAAGCCTACCACTACCACACTTACACCCTTCACCACCGCGAACATTCTAATCGATAAAATGACTGAGATTACCTCATATCGACCATCACATAACCATAGATAACATAACAATCTAATTTACACAACCATAACCATTAAACCTTGACCCAGGGTACTTGTATAGATATCATCCAACGCCAAACACCATTGCTTCATATTGATCGCAAGTATAAGCAGAGAAAAAGGATGGATCACTCCAAGTCCATGTCGCGCGTCAGACGTCGCAGGATCATGGCGACCAGGGCGATTATGACGCCAACGATGGCTCGGTCAAGCCAGGGAGTGTCTTGGGATGTAGTTGCTGGTGCAGCTGGCACTGAGGGTCTTGTTGCTGGAGGGGTATGTTGTTGAAGCTGTTGTTGAGGCTGTGGTTGTGGTTGTGGTTGAGATGGAGGATCTTGCTGCACACGAGGTGTATCCGTAGCTGCAGTCACAGCTGCATCCGCACCTGCAGCCGCAGCCTCATCCACACCCTCCTCCTCCTTCTTCTTCTTCTTCTCATCCCCCTTCTGCTCCTCCTCATCCACCCCAAACTCCCCTCCGAAATCCTCCCCCTCCACCCGCACCCCAGCCTCTCTACAAACCCCCCACCACTCCCTCATAACCTCCTCATTCTCTCTCCCCCTACTCCCCTCACACCCCTCACACCTCCACCCCCTACTACTCCTCGCATACGCCCTCCTCACCTCTTCCCCAACATCCAACCCACCCACCTGGCCCTTCGCATCCCCATCCATGAAACTCCTCAGCGCAATCAACGCCGTCCGGATCCCCCATGCAGGCTGCCACGTCTCCTCATGATGGCCCGATATACTGAGACAGATCTCGCGGTTGACTTCGAACCGTCCCGAAGGCGTCAGGAACCGGAAGCTGGGTGGGCGGAGCGGGTAGGTGGGCGGGAGAGTGATGCGGCCGTGGTAGATGCCCCCTGCGTAGGGAGAGGGGGGCGGTGGGCCCAGGAGTGTGAAGTGCCAGTCGAAGAGGTTGGATTCGGAGACGGGCGCGGCGTGGAAGTAGGGTGATGGGTTGGTTTGTAGGTCGGCGGATTCTTTGAGGAGGCGGCGGGTTGAGGGGGACATGTCTTTGAGGGTTTCACCCGAGGGTGTTTGGTGATGTGGGTGTTTGTCTTAGTATGTGGTTGGTAAGTTGTAATGAGTGAGGTATTGGTGGTGAGGTGTTTGGTTGGAGATGATGTGATGATGTGATGTAGTAGTCGGAGATATAGATAAGGTGGAGATGCGGATAGGCCAGTTGGCCTGACGTTTACCTGCCTTATTAATCAGGTGTCGCTACCATACCATTGGACTCCGTAGTATATAGCATTCATAATAGTTCTACCGCATTTAAACATTATTCATCCTAGTATACACTGGTATACATCAATCCCAGCTCCGCCATTCATCTTCTCGTCCGTGCATCTCCTCTTCGCTCATCTCTCCCTCGCTGTCTTGCCCCCGCAGCCGTGGTGACATCGGCGCTAGTGTCTTCATCGACACCCCCGTGTTCGGCCGCTCCGGATCGCGCACCACATCCAGCGGCTGGTTCGGCGTCCAGTTGGCTGCAGCAGCAGATGCACCCCAGGCATGGCCATTGTTCATATTCCGCTGGTACAGTTCCCGCTGGTATTGCTGTTGCTCCGCCGCCTCCCGCTCCCGTCGCTGCCGCACGCGATCGCGCGCCTCCATGAACTTCGCACTCGGCTCCCAGTGCCAGCCATCGCCTGTCGTCGTACACACCGGCACCGGCCATAGCAGCGGGCGGTCCCCGAACAAGTGTCGTAGATTGCGCCGCCATCCCAAGTCAAATGCGTGCGGCATTTTCTCGCTGTCTTCCTCATCCAGATAGTTCTGATATCGGTCGTGCTCACGCTGGCGCTCCATCTCGGCATATGATCGCGACAATGCCTGCTGTGCTGGTGACATCCGCATCCCGGATGGTGACACACTGGGTGGAGGCGTTGGCTCCTCACCCTCTTCCGCCCGCGTCACTCCCGGGATCGCATTCGCGTGGGCGTCGAGGATCTGCCCTCCGTAGTCCTGCAGCCGGTGACCGAATCCTTCTCGGTCGCCCCCTTCGCTGCCCAGCACATTTTCGTAGCGGTGGCGATCCAGCGCTTTCCGCAACGGTGACACATACCGCGTCTTCTCCAGGCATTCGATCGTCGTAATTCCCCGCAAAGCCAGGCTGATATGCCAGACTGTGAAACCCGACAGTACCAGGCCAATAATGCCACCGAGCACCGCCAGCAACACCACGTTGATCGGCAACATTTTATCCACATCGATATATTTACTATCGTCCAGCATCTCCGTCCATATCCACAGTGCCGCGACGATGAAATCCACCCAGCAGAAGATCGACGTATATATCAAGAACAGCAGGAATGCTTTGTAGTTGTACAGTCCGACGCAGGTCGCCAGCCACGGACAGTGGTGATCCATCTTCAGCACGCAGCGCTTGCATGTCGAGCAGTGGTGCGCCCGATCCGGTTTCGGGCACTGGCATTTCTTGCAGAATCGGGATCCACCGGTCGAACTCACGGTGTAGGCGGTATATTGTGGTAATTCGGTCACTGGGAGTGCACTATATTCATGTCGACCGCGGCCGCTGGGAGTGAGGGGGGATCCGGGGTCGGTGAAGACGGCGACCGTGTAGCATGCGTTGAGGCAGATGTAGAGGATGATTCCGAGGAGGGAACTTGGGATACCTGGTTCACATCACGACTCAGTAAGCAAATGTATGAACGGACGGTGAAACCACGATTACACACCGATCCAAGCACTTTCAGATGGCTTGAAGCCAACACTGGCCTCGACCCAGACGGCCCATGTCGTTAGGCTGTAGACAAATGCCAGAGGGAAGAATGATGCTGCCGTGCAGCAGTAGCGTTCAATGCGGAGAGCCCAGGCCCGCGGCCGTCTTTTCGGCCACGAAGGCGAGGATGGAGGTGAGGCTGCCAGTGTTGCCATGGTCAGATGGAGTATGGAGTATCAGCGAGATGACATCCACGTTGCGAGCGACGATTCAAATCATGGCGATAACCGAATATACAGGGGTGGGATGTCAGCAGCGCAGCAGTGACAACTCGAATGTATAGCAGTTGGATGATACAGTCTACTATAAACGAGTCCAGAAAGGAGTAAAGTGGGAATGAGAGATGACGGGGAAGAGCGGAAGTGGAGGGAAGGAATGGGACTTGATGGATCTGGCGATCTGAGGCACCACATTATTCTTACGTTACATGTACCGTATCGCACAGCCACGGTTTGCCGATCACATGCGCCTATATTTAGATTGTGGCTCGGCACCTGTTGGTTGTTTATGAAACAGATGCCTAGTAACTACTGACTACTACTTACTCTTCACAATCACTCAATCATAATCATTTATCATTGGGATTTCCGTCCCGTACTATGGTATAAACATGAGTCGCTGGTGCAAACTACAGCACCAGATACAAGTATCCCAAACGCCGCTTGATGTACTGCCTCGATATATGATAACCGCATTTGCGACAGGATATCCCTTAAGAAACCAGACCAAACCATATACCATTCAGTATAACACAGTGAAGAAATAAAATAGTTCGGAATGTAGTCGCTCAGGATGTCTTCGTTGTCGTCAATTGGCCTTCTTCACACCATCCATTGACAGGCTGCGATACAGTTAGCATAAGCGTGATCCACCAGCATTGCGTTACTCACCAGGCAACTTAATCGGTAGCACCAGGAACAGTTGGACTTGGGATACTTGTAGAAATCGACAATCAGGAGAATAAAGCCGACGAGCACCGCGACCAAGGCACCCGCGCGCACCAGCCACCATGCCCACCATAACGGCTTCCGGCCCCGGAAGAAGTTCACTGGGTTCAACTTGTTGTTGCTGGCGCCTGCTCCGGTGCGAGTCCGACGTCCTTTTAGGAAATCAACCAGGCTGGGCCCAGTATTCACCTTCTGGTTGTCATCGGGCGTGGGAGTGCCGGCCCCGCCGCTCATGGCAACGTACGGATTCCGCGCCAAGCCAATCCGCTCGCGCAGCGCGTTAGGTGACCGAAGAAGACACAAGCCCAGAGCCAGTCCCATGATGAAGCCTCCAATGTGGGCAAAATTATCCAATCCCGGCAAAAGCCCCAACACGAAGGACACCGCAATACCTAGGATCATAATGATCATCTCCACCCAAGGAGAAGGACGGTCCTTCCATGTATAGAGGAGATCCAAGATGAATAGAGCGAGAATACCGAACAGAGCACCGGAGCAGCCGCACGACGCTTCGCCCTGCCCGGCATAGTTGCCGCCCAAAACAAAGCCCCAGATTCCACTGGCCACATAAACCACGAAATACCTCCACCAGCCGATCATCCGCTCCATGTCAACTCCCATGGTCATTTGCACGATCAAGTTGAAGCCGATATGGACAAATCCAGTGTGGATGAACATGGGAATAATGAACCGAAACCATTGGTTGGGTTCCGGTTTGTCGTCAAGCGATCCGTGCGGGTGAGGATTCGGTACACCGCTGAAGCCGCACGCCTCAGATAGCGTGCACTCAGCCACCGACGCGGTAGCGTTCGGGCAAGGGAAGAGAACTGTTTCGTTGGCGTTCTGGATGCCAGGGACGTTCTTCATGCATGGTGTGTACCGCGACCCCATGTAGATTTGTACGTACGGGGATGGTCCGATCATTACGTTGAATGATGGTTTCGTCTCGATAGGAGAGCCTGTAAATTGAGCTGCAGAGTTGTCAGATGGATTCCAAGGGACCTTTTTGCCGACCTGACATACCATTCTTCACCAGTTCCACAATGAACACGATGATCTGGACCAACGTAAACGTATACGTTACCCACGGAATCTTCTTTTTGAAAAACCCCTTCTTCCTGTTCCTGTTCCTCCGCGCTGTCGGAGCGACCGGCGGTTCGATATCTTCGGGCGTGGGCGAATAATGAGTGGGTTGGTGCATCCAGTTCGGCGGCGGAGATCCATTTGCATATTGATTGCTCTTCAGCGGGATATTCTCAGAGTAGGGTTCCTCATTCAGTCTTCCACCGGCCGCATATGCTTGGTCGGAACCGAGAGATTGTTGACTGTGGTGGAGTTGAGGGTCGGCTGCCGTGGGCTCGTAAGGATGTGTGTGGAAGTCAGGATGGCCTGGGGTCGGAATGGGATCGAAGTGAGGATTAGCTTGCTCATAGGTAGGCGGGTTGCTGCTGTAACCGCCATGGTAGTAGCTGTTGGCTGCCATATTGAATGGACAGCCGGGCCGGCGAAAGGCGCAGGCAGGGAGGCCGTGTCAATCAGGTCGTTGTAATGACCGAGGGCAAGCGATTGTCCGGTAGAGCTTTTCGCTGGCGAGTGGTAGTAGTTGCGAAGTGTACAGGAATAATTTGTGTTTTCTTCTGCAAAGCAGAGGTTGGTTTGTTGACAGGGGTCGGTCGTCTCGCAGAGATGACGACGGCACGTTTGGCGGGCAACAAGCAGGGCTGAAACGATCAATCAGAGAATGCCCCTGACCCGGAACCGACTTTGAATTGCGGCAAATGGCCCCCAACGATCGACGAAACGAAGGAACCCCAGTGAGATTCAGGGAAAAGTAACGAGAGATTCTTCCACCCACTTCACCACAACGGGGAATAAACAAACACTGTGAGGAGAAGGACAAATGAACGAAAAGCCGGTGAGATAAAGATGGGGAAGAAAGACGCAGGACGCTTGAAGTTTAGGCAGGCGGTTTTCAGTCTGGGCGGGCGACTATTTTTGGGCGCTGATCTCCAAGAAACTTCGTCGTCAGCCGCCAGTCCGGATGGAAAACACTCCCCGATGACTGAGCAACGCGGATCCATTCATTGTGAGCGTCGATTTGGGTGTTCCCGCAGGCCACGCAACGTCCCGCGACCGTGAATGGCTTTGAGGCTATGGCACAGCAGTGGTCCGTTGCATCATGGCGGTGTTGCCCCCCACCACGATTTAAAGGCAGGGCTGGGCATGTTGTGGCTGGTCATCGTTGGCGTACTCCTCTCTCCACTTCTACCATCGCATGTGCAGCAGCGTGTGCGCTCTTGACCGACGACCCCCTTCCAGCCTTGTCAACATGTTCCCGGTTCATCAGTCGGATCCGATGCTCGTGTCCACGCATGCTTCCTGACACAATTACCTACGGAGTACACTGACTAAGTAGGGAATCACATCCCTTGCTGCAGACCAATCATACACGAGTTCATATTTGACATTAAGCATTACTAGACATTTAACAATACCATTCGCCTAACCCACACGAGGTTCATCTGTACATCGATTTGCGTGTGGAATCCGACCTGGGAGACATCGTATTCCGACCCTGCTGTCTTGATCGACTGATTATACAAGCCAAGGAGGTAAAAAAGGAATCCAAACCCGAGAATTTCCAACCCAGGGCTGAAGGGTCGGATGCTCCCGTCTCTATCGGAGTGGAATGCCACATTACTTGCCGTCCTACACGCTTGGTCCGCGTGTTCGCATTAAAAAAAAAATCGATGCCTTTCCGTTCAGTTCATTAAGTCTGTGCGCAGCGACGCGCTAAGGTTGATCATAGTAGTCCCGGAAACGCCACGGCAACGCCATCATACGAATCGAATGTACGGAGTACAACAGGGTCTATCCCAACCTCCAATCGTCAGCTGCACAACGCACTGTGTAACTCAAATCAGTGATTACTTACCATCATGACAGACCCTGTTGCTTTATACCCAAAAAAGAAGCAGACCAAACCAAGAGCGAAAAAAAAATATATATAGTCATAATGTTGGTCAGGCAGTTACGCTTAACCAATAGCCAGGTGATTCCCTCAGCTGGAGGGGGTGGATATCGAGTTAACGTGCGAGTCGAGTATGCCCAAGGCTGCACCCATTTCCTCGCTACTATGCCCAGTCAACAGCCATACGAGACGGCTGAGCTTCTGGTACAGCAGCGCGGGGAAATAAACAAGCAGTGCCCAGAACAGCAAGGACAGGACGACCATCACAAAGGTGTTGGCCACCAGCTTTTCTCCTGGTGTCATCACATAGAGTCCGAATGTAACCTCGTAGCGGTAGTATTCCAGCCGAATACGGTCGACAGATCGCTGCAGGATGTTGCGACGGGGTTGCTTCATGGACAACTGGCTGGAACCAGGACAGTTTGTCATGGTAGAAGAGTATTTGTTGATCAGCTCATCCACTGCAGCCGGCGCATGCGAGGAGATGTGTGTGGAGGTCGAGGGGGTGTAGAACGACTGTATTTCGGTCGCCATTGTCGAATAACGCTAGAGGATTCGCAAACTGGAAGGGCCGTGGCTTCCCTGCGCTATACGTTGTCGAGTGCTCAGCGCTTTCCTTTCCGCTGCCTCGGTCGGATATCGTGCTGAGCAATCGCAGTGGAGTGACGCAGATTCCTTTGCTCCGAGTTAACTGGCCGATAAGACCCTAATTGCACTGGAGCGTCTCCGCGTCTCAATAGTCGGCCGTGAAGGGGGTTTGTATTATCGAGGTGGAATTCGTTAAGATTGGGCTATGGGGGGAAAGGACCGACGCGAGAAGATCGGAAGCCGGAGAAGGCTTGAGAGCTAAACAGACAGTTGCTGAGAAATACAGAAGCGGGGTCAATGCAAGAGAGAACACAAGTAGCGGAGATTAAGAAGAAGAGAAGGAGAGCAAGCAGAAAGCAACTAAGGCACCAGGGGAGGATGAAGTAAGAGTTGAGTTGGGAGTTGAAGGAGAAAATCGGTAAGGCGCGGATCGAGGAAAAGCCGCCGTGAGGGATGATTGGAAGAAGGCCGCTCTGCTCAGGCAATAGTCCAACTAGTCCAGCTCCAGGGCGTCCTGGCCAAGAATTAATTCGAACTAAACAGCCGCGGATGACTCAAGTGTCTGGGATGGTGCAGAGTCCAAGTGATGCAGAGTTGCTGGATCATCGTCATTGAAATTAATTTGCAATGCGACGCTCGCGAGGGCGACTCGGTCATTGGCCGCAACCGGTGCCCGGAAGTCATTTGCTGGGAGGAGCTTCGGCTCTATCGGCATCGCCCGCGTCGGTGGTGGTTCTTCCTTGGTTCTGTGTGGTTTGATTTTTTTTTTTTTTTCTTCTTGTTTTTTTTTCTTCTAACCTCTTGTTTTTCCCTTCCATTTTCTTCTTCTTCAGCCCCGTCCACTCTCGAACCTTCATCCTATAACACTCCTGGAAAGTATTCTCGTAATTAGTAATTATTCCCTATGCCTAGTAGTTAGTTCGCGGGAAAGATATCACCCCGATGGAGTCCAACCTTCTTGCCCCGGATTTTCCACCCAGAAAAAGCTCATGCCCCTTAGCTATCTTGCTAGCATATCTCGCGTGATAAGGGCGGCTGGCGTCCACGAGTTCATATTATGATAGTCCATGTGTGCCCAGTTCCTTGCATAAAGTTCATAACGCCCTTGATCGCGCACGTCCCCCTTCGTTGAGGTCAGCGGCTGTGATACCCGTCGGAGTGGAGACTCCCGCAGCCAGATGGTCGCTCATTCTATAGAGCAAAAGGATAACAACAGCGGTGCCATGCGAGCTGGACGTTGAATGGAAGTATCGGGAACTAAATAGCCTGCAGCAACTCTGTTAGCAAATTGGGTATCACAATCCTTGTGTGCTGTGTAACTCTGGCTGCTGGTCTTCGATTTCGGAACCCCAAACCTTCCCAGGCTAGTCCGAACCAGCCTAGTCAATTGAGCTACCTTGGCACGATGATCTACCGTGGTTGGATTTGCAGCCATCTGAGAAATAAAGCAAATCGACCCTAGCAGTTCCGTTATTAGGAGATCATTGTCAATGTCCTGAATAGAGTCACGACCATGGTTCTGGTTGTAAATGTCGAGTGTAAGGAGATTCTCAGACCTTGTCGCATGTTTGTGTTTTCATGTTGTGGAATATATCTTCATTCACTCACAATATGCGGCCTTTGACCTATTCCCATTAGCGGTGAGTCGCTACTTGAATGCGGACCACGCATGCCATGTTTGGAGTATTGTCCTGTCAAAGCAGATTATGGCGAAGTTGCCTGCCAGAGTTATTTGCACAAGTGGTCTTACACCATGTCAAAACTGATTGGTAGCTCAATGCGCAGTCCCCCATCTGCCATGTGACACGTATCAATCATCCAGCGAGCACATGTCGGGATGTAAACGTATTCTGAATGTTCAGGCCTCTAGGAAAGTCGAGTAGCTTAAATGCCGCTGAGCTTTTCACACAGCAGATTATCAGCCTCCTGTGCGGCCATAGTTCATCAACGCGTGAGTTCCAGATTAGCCCAGTTCCTCTCTCATCTGTATGTATTAGCCATTGTGGCTTCGGTTAGCATTATTTGGAGTCAAGGTAAGGTGATGAAGAGAGTTCAGATTATTGAGGAGAAGCGGGTCAGTAAATACACCTGGGGCTGATGTTTTCTTAAGTAATATGTGGAAAAGACTGTCCCGGAAATAGATTCCTCTACAAACTAAGAATAGAATACAGATTAACGTAGGCCGTACTGGAGGCTTTTCTAGCGTATTAGAACCATTGTTACACGCATAGGGCTACCTGTATAAGAAAAGAAGTATCAAGCTCCATTGGAAATCGCATTGACAGTTTGAGCTTACTAGAACTGTATGTAAGATTCTTCGATAGCATTCGAGAAATTGCAAACATGTCTCAGCATTAAATTTCACAATGGACTTGATTTCGAGGTCGATGCCTCTGGTTTGCTTGTCACAGAAGCCATCAAGAATCGACTCGCTCATACTTACGGACCCGGTCCCGTCTCCGGGCGCGCCGCGTGACCTAATACTATCTCGATCAAGTTTCCCACGCTTCACTTAGTAGTCAAACAGACAATGTCCTGATTTACTTGCCAATCAAGTCCATCAGCTGCAGACCCTCAACAAGGCGGGCCGTTTTGAGAACAATGGGGTCCGAACGTTCAATTAAGGCTGCCTAACTTCACCTTGATCTTGTAGCAGATAATGAAACCTGGAAAAACAAACAGTCAACATCAATCTAACGATGCCAATGATTTGTCTTCGCAGACTTGTATGCTCATTGATGACAAGGTGAAGATGAAACATGATATTCTGTATTGTCTAGCGAACCTGCTCATTAGTCAAAGAAATGGATGCTCCTCCATAATATCATTCTAGCTACTTCGTAGTAATTATCAAGAGTAGCTGTTGTTTAGGAAGAGTCAGTTGCGAGAAAATGAGCAGCTTTATCTGCTAGGAAAATCTGACTGTTACCCTGGGGGACAGGTGAGATCCATGAGAATACAAAGTCATGCTTATTGCTGAAAGCCCAAATCTTCCCAACAGACCGCGCGAGCAAGAACTCTGCTCAGTGCCCTTTCTCCTGAGTGCATTATGGTCGAAGGCTACAAGAACCAAGGTTGTTCTTCCTGTCATTCTATGTACGCACACGGACTACCCCACCATATATCAGTATCCGAATCTTCTTGCCTGTGCATCAAATGGTCTTCTCGCTCCGCAACGCTCCAGGAAGAACTAAATGTCTCAACGTCGTCTCATGATAGTTCCATGTCGTTTGAGGAGTTCGAGATCGCCCTCTCCGGTCACTCAGTCCCTGCTTAGCACTAACAAGCCAGCCAGCTGTCACTTTCGGCGGGCGTCTGAGCGCCCGGACCGCTCGGTAAAGTCCAGAGCCCGTACCCATTTGTCTACTTAGTACCCACGACCGTGTATCCCCAGTCAGCAGGCTACCTAGGAGCGCTACTAGGAATGGAGCTAATGGAAGTATAGCACCAGTCGGAGCTACGTGGCTTCTAGAAAATCACGTATCTACATAGGTATATATGGTGTCTTTGACATATAATTCCTTGAAGAACTCCAAGATCCAATATGAGGAACTCCACTCTGTATCTGTTAGAAGCATATTCCTATAGTTAGAACACAGGCTGTAGATACAAAAACTCAGGTAAGGTCCTGAGCGAGCACACTTAGAACCTTTTCAGCTTCTATGCAGGCATATTCCTGATTAACTTTAGGCTTGGAAGCGCGGCAAACACGGAACATGCGGAATGTCGGGCGCTGTTCCTTGTAGGGTTGCCCCGTTGCAAAGGTACCTACAAAGATGCTGAAGCATGATTGGTTCTTTTCTCATCCTATAATCCACTGAACTAGAATACGCTTTTTACTTTATATTTATCTGATAATCAATTCAGTGATAGGTACTGCCTCCCTTACGATAACCACGGAATGCGTCGGTTATTACTATTTGTTGACATAAGTAGCAAGCATGTGTGGATCGGTCTCAGAACATGACTCGTGTCGTCGAGTACACGTCCGGTGCTACATTTGTTTAGTTGATTGGTGTGGTGGATAATGCGCCAATACTGTATCGGTGTAGACGAATGAGGGGCATTTCATCACTTTTGGATATTAAACCGATGCGAAGGTGTCCGCCTCGGAAGTACTTACCCGAAGGGTCTTACTTTCTATGCGCAGCTTCATCTAAAACCCAAGCAGAATATTTTTCTTTCCCTTCTGACTGGCTGGCTTTGACATCCGACACAATGCATACTCTAGTAGAGAGAATCTGCAGCTGCCCATAAATAGTGCTACAGCCGAGATCTTATCTAACCAGCCCATATGCAATTTTCCATCTACTCCGGAGGGCATCTTCAAATCCTACGAAAAGTGATCCCATCCGGCTGAGAACAGATTGGCTCTGTCCTTGCCTCCATCCAGACATATTCTTTTCGCATGATGGTGTGCTGCCGGGCGAGCGGACCTCCCAGGATTTCTGATGCAGCCGTGTTTGATCCTGATCGTCGTGTCGCCCCTCAGCTTCAAAGACAGACCTTAACCGAGAATTCTTACGCGGCTTTGTCATGGGTCGGAAATTGTTTGCGTGATTTCGCGATTGGTCTAGACCGTTTGCAGTATCTGGAAGATCAGCTGGTGACAGACTAAATGCAGAGAACGGTCTCTTGCCAAGAGACCATCGAGCATCTAAGATAGGCAAGCGACTTCTTTCTCCGCTAATTCTCGATGATCGGAAAATAAGCGCCTCGGCACAGCAGGTTCTCAATATTGGGAGAGGAACAGGACCAACAGACCTGGAGGTCTGTTCTTCGAGACCGCACCGGGAACCAAGACGCCAGTCATTGCTGCACCGGGGCAAGAAAAGGATTACTCGGGGCTTCCGCCGCCGTACATCAATGTCGAGAAGAAGATGTGGCTTACGCTATGAGATTGCTGGAGTACCGATTACAAGCCACTCTACATGTTTGGCGTGGCGAGATTGACAAAAGCAGGAATCTTGGTAACTGTCCACCTGCGATGCGCACCCGTGAGAAATAGAAGAGAAGAAACATGAAGTAGAGCGAGACGACAGTGGATATCTGCAGATAAGAGAAAGGCCCGTGTTATGCACATGCTTGCGGTTCTCGTACGGGGCAACTGCTTATGCACAGGCCACATACCTTGTAAACAAAATGATGGGGTTCTATTTTGTACTATGGAGATGGAGTCTAAATTGGACCGGCAGCGGTGAGAGGAGGGTGAAATAGAAGATTGACATGGTCAATATCCCACTGGTGACTTAGAAACTTGTAGAGAGAATTATACAGTGCAGAAGCCATTCGAGTTTGATAGTGGGAGCTGAAGGGGGTCACCGGGTACTCACGTCTTCCCACTTCCTTGTAGTGCGGCCTGTTCAACCTCTGCAACAGACAGGCAAGCAACCTAGCAAATCTCTTGCCAGCACATACAAAGATTCCTAGGCATGAGAAATCCTGAGCTTAGACGATTAATTAAATCGGTGGTCACAGGCTAAGTATATACCCCGCATGGCCGACGCATAATAGCGGCTGACATATAGGCGATGTGTTCGCCGGGGCTCGATTCTAGACTCGGACAGAATTTTTTTGCGGCAGGGCAAAGTGTCAGGCATACTGGAAAATTGTTCCACCTAGCAAATCAAACGTTTCACCTCAGCTGAGTTTCTCGAAAAAAAACAAGTGACGAGCCTAAATTGGGAGCTGATGGTCCCGGGCTGCACTAACATGTTGCCTGTGGTCACCGTTACTGAGCTCTCAACAGTGACACCGCCCTCCATCCACATCTATGGCATCCCCCTAGCTAAGAAGATTTCGACACAGACTACAGTGCGACAAGATGGTCAATTTGGCCCGTGTGTGGATCATACCGAGAGTGGAGGCAGGGATTATTGCTGACCTTCGCTAGTCGACGGAGATGCTGGCTTATGCACGATGCCCAACAGCTGTCGCTGAACAACAGCTCTGCCGACAATCTCAAAAATACTCTGTGTAGTGCTTCAATCTTCTAGTCCTCTTAGCGTCGGGTATACCCCGTGACAAGGGTATCTGGTCCTATCACCGTGCCTGTCAACATTTTTCCAGGTCTGCGCCGGGCGCCCCCACCTGCCATTAGTCTGACAGCCGGTGGCGAGGAAGGATTTTCATTTTCCAGACCTTCTTACTGGTGCAATGGGTCAAAAAATACTGGGAAAGCCGTTAAGTAGCACGGTGGCGAACTATATGCATGCTACTGAAATAAATTCTGATATACCCGACAACCAGGATGCCAGGCTGCAGTGTCTGCATCTGGACCCGCTCCTTTCCAGGACATAAATCGGCCGTCAGAACAATGGAGGTAGGATGCGGTGGCAGGCAGGACCTGAGTTGTCAAAATATAAGTGCCCAGAACCCGTTTCAGGGAGCTCCACGGCTCATTCACTATATCGTTACATCTATATTCTGCTGATACCTTCCTTGCGTGGTACATCATGGGTCAACCTTGGGATGCACAATTTGACCGAGTAGCGAGCTCGTAGGTGTCCTTACTTTCTACACTGTTGGTCAGAAAGACACAAGCTAATGACGCATGATGTTCGCTGTTCAGAAGGGCCGCTAGACCAGGGCTTCAGACAGCAAATCTCGATATCACAGGCATCTTCGTCGTCAACAATCAACAGGGCCTTCCAATTGAACTGTCGAGGACTGATGAGAGCCATCTACTTAACACGGGCTGGCCCCATGTCCAGTCGCTCTGGCCCATCCTTGGGGTGGGAGAATTCCAGGCATATTACGATGCCTTGTGGACGCCGGGACGCAAAACCCGTCAGCCATCAGCTCTTGTTGACAGTTTACTTGCCATCTGCATGCAGGTCACCAGTACTGCTGTATCCAATGAAGCATCTGGTGGCAGCGATGTCCGGATAGCCGGGCAACAGCTGTATAATCGCACCCGGCAACTGCTTCTACAAGAGGAACAGGCTGCCCCAACGCTAGCCACGGTGCAAACCTTCATCTTCTCGAGCATTTATCTGCTGTACACAGACTGCATTGAGCCCGCATACACCACGATTGACGGCGCAGTGCGCTTGGCATATGGACTAGACCTCCATCACGATCCCCCAGAAGGAATGGATGCGAGACAGCGTGAGGTCCGGCGCCGGGTATGGTGGGCTTTGTATACACTGGAGAGCTGTCTCACCACGAGTTTGGGGCTTCCATCCCTTATTGTCCAGGGCGAGGTATCCTGCGGCTGGCCGACGATCTCCCCGATGGGTAGCTCCAATTCGAATCACTTCCAGGTGCACTGGGCCAAGCTGCTCATGTCATTCCAGATTGTACGCACAGTCTTCGACCACCAACAGACAGAGCTTCTCCAGGAAACCCACGAGACCGACATTCGCAATCTACCAGGCCTCTTGGAGTCTCTCGCAGTGTTTATGATGCGACCTCTTAAGGCTATCCGGGAAGGCCTTAATGCAGTTCCTTCTCCGTTACGGATCCCTCGAAAGGACGGTACTCGGGGGTTTTCATTTCTCTTGAAAGGAGCCACTATCAGCCTAGACGGTACAGCCCCCTTGTGGCTTCAGCGGCAGCAGTTCACCCTAGAAATCAGCTACCACAGTCTGAGTCTGGCGGCCCTGCGGCCTTTTCTCTACCTGCAGGGCGGCGATTCGGCCTCTATTCCGCGAGCACATGCGCACGCTGTCACCGGTCTGAAGCACGCCGTCACCTTAACGGTGATCTGCCACCAGAGTCTGACCGAAAGTGAAAGTCTTGCGAGGTGTCTCCCGATCTTCCGCTGCCAATGGGACAGCTGCCTATATCTCCTAGCCTTCACTTTGGCCAACCCAAAGTGCAGTTTTGCTGCAGAAGCGCAAAAGGCAGTGGATACTGCCTTGGACACATTTACTATTCTCGTAAATGTTCTAGGGTTGCCGCGCCGAGCCTCAGAGATCATGAATGATCTCCGCAGGCGCGCAGAAGAATTGGTCCATGTGCCTGCATACATAGTTCCTCCCTCGAGCCAGCCAGCCTCGTGTATTGACTCCGCAGCCGCGTCATCTCCAGGATATGTTGTATCTAGCGGTGTCATATCCAATCACGACCATCTAGGCGCGTTTGATAGGGCCCAAATGCCACCTACGGCTGACCCATCAATTGGCTCTGATATGGGCAGTTTTGAAATTTTTACAGCAGCGGAGTCCGAGCTATCGATGGAATCGGCGCTTGACGTGTCTAGCCTGGAACTGGAAGCACCGAGTTGGACCGACAACAGCATATTGGATATTGACATGAGTTGGGTGGCGGACACTGTACTGGTTGAACCGTGGCAAAATAGTATGGATCATATATTCAGATAGAGATGAAATACTTCAGACAGGGTGAAAACATGTGTAGAAAGAGTAACCGATTTTTACACCCCGATTTGCACCCGGAAATCCCGACGGTGGAGTGCCGGACTGCCGGTATAAAATTTTATTGACTCGGAGAACCCCCGCCCACAGCAACTGAAGCTGAGACCCACCGGCCCGGGCCGGACTGGTTTGATTCCCCACTTGATGCCGCCTACTGATTCTCTACTATAACTGGCCAACCCGGACTGACTACTGTGTACTCTTCTAACCACACAAAACCAAACAGTTGTACCCTTTTCCCACATGCAGTGGGTTAACCAAAATCAAATCACTTTTCATTCCCCCCAGTACCCTTGATCCCACCCCCTTACTACCACCTATCCAACCCAGAAAACAAATAAATAACCTAAACAGCCTCACAAGCCACAAACCCATCATATTCCTCCGCGCCCGTATGCGTAATCAACCCCGCAAACTCATCCTCCCCATTGAAAATAATCCGATCCGCACCGGGAGACCCCCCATCGTACACCTTGTAATCATCCAGAATCGGGTACTCGTAGTATGTACCCGAGACGGTGAAGTCGAATCCTTCGTAGTCGTGGTAGACGTGCGGGTAGTCGTCGATCGTGCGCCCTTCTTCGTGTAGCGAGTATCCCTTTGCTTGCGCTTTGCTGATGTCGCTGGCCCAGTAGCAGTGGCTGCCGCAGTAGTAGACGCATTTGGAGTCGGAGCGGGTGTCGAGGGAAGTGGAGGGGGCGGCGAGCGTGGTTGTGAGGAGGAGGGGGAGAGAGAGGAGGATAGTCTAGATTAGATGTTTTGGTTGGTTTGTTGGTGATTTGTGAAGGGAGGTGTGTGTGTGTGTGTGTGTGTGTGTGTGTGTGTGTGTGTGTGTGTGTGTGTGTGTGTGTGATGAGGTTGGTATGGGATGGGATGGGATGGGATAGGATGGGTGTACCTTGAGTTGGAACATTGTGGCCCTGCTTTTTACTGGTTTTGTTTCGGTTCACTTCTCTTCTCTTCTTTGTTTGCCTTGGAGCTGCTACAGTTTGATGGTAACTGAGACATGATGAAGATTCTACTCCCAATTTATATGTACTCCCTAAGTTCTCTCAGTACCCTGTTAATCATTCCATCTTCGTCTCTGTATGCAGTCCATCCCATCCATCCAACCAATAATCCTCACAAACCAACAATAAATCAAGTATACTAACAAGGAAGAGATTAATCCCGACGGAGATCGAGTTAGTCAGGCCAGACTACATCCTTCATACCCCCTCCTCTATGCAATAATGCATCAGATATAGTCAAACAAGCATACACCAAGCAACACCAAGATAAGCCACGTTCTCATATCACTCGTTGAGAAGACATTTATCTCCTGAGGATCACATATACTAATGCTCGGTAGTATCCATCCGGCTAGGAACTCCGACGGATACTCCGGGTACTTGAACCCACTTCTTGTTTTCTCCCAATGAGCGGGGGTCTTGGCTTCATGTGCGCGGGTATATATTTATTTCTGAGGGGGTAGAGTGAGTTGTGAAGGTTGTGGTTGTCTTGGTATCGAGGAATTGGTGCATGTATAGTGGGTGCTTGTTCATTTCAAGATTGGGGGTTTCTCAGGGTTGTATCGGGCTTGGATTAGGGCGCGTGGATGGGTGGGTGGTTGGTAATTAGTGCTATAGGAGACTGAAGATGTAGTAACTACGCTTAGGGTAGGGATGGATGTATGGTTGTGCTGCTGCTGCTGCGGGTGGCGCGGGAATCCCCCGCTCGAGTACTCCGTGCCTCGGTTCAGTTGCGAAAGGATTAATCTATGTATGCATCTTGCAAGACTTGGTCTGGGTTTTAAATGGCTGGATAGGGCGTTGGACATTAGGGACATTAGCTGAATCATGCCACACTGTGCTTTAGTTGCTGGCTAGATAATTGTTCAACATTACCAGAGAGAGAGCTATAGTAAATTATGATAACCAATAGATTGAGCATCTGGAAAAAACATTGTGGCTGATAGAGGGCAAGGTATTCAGTCAGTCGCAAAATTTCCAATCAGACCATTCATCTATGCACCAATCTTATGCACAAAGAACGCACCCTTACTCCTGCCGAAGCACAATTATAGACGTGCTGGACTCCCCATAATAAGTGTGTATCTCCTCGATGCAGAGTCCCACACAATTGGCCACCTCCATCCATTGCTTCCTTGTTCGCTCCTTACCACCAAGCGAGATCATCAATGACACATCGGCCAGAGTTGCCTGCCATGGGGCCTCCACATCCGGTAGCACAATCTCGTCCACGAGGATTCTTGAACCAGATTCCATGGCAGTGGCGAGATGTTGAAGGATTTGGATACATTGGGAATCTGGGTAGTCGTGCAGGATTCGTCGCAGGTAGTAGAACCTTGCTCCTGTTGAACCGAAATATTAGATCAGATCGGGGTTGGGGCACTTTGTAAAGAACGAGATGTACATACCTTTAATGGTCTGCGGCTGGAAGATGTCGTGGGCCATAACCCGCACACCATCCAGGGGAGGAAGGTGGTTGACCGCTTCGGGCAGGTCTTGCAGCACAAGGCGTCCCTGGAGATGGGGATACTTGTCCCTGAGTTGAATACACTGGTGGCCATGACCCCCGCCAACATCGACGAAGAAAATGTCCTCTCCAAGATGCACTTGACTTGAAGCAGCGCGATGAGCCTCTTGTTGAAAGAGGTCAAAGTTCAAAAACCAGTCCGCAGACTTAAGGCCGGTCATGACTTGTTGTAGAGCATCAAACAGCTTAGGATGCTTGGCTAACCATTCAAAGCAGGTGACGTCTGTTTGGAAGGCTTTTTGAAACGGAGTGTTCTTATTGTCCGTTATATCGGCGTAATTGTTATCTGCGAAGAACCCTGGAACTGCCTGACTGGCTGGTCCGCAGGTTTCAAATCTGCCTCATGATAAAGTCAATCAAAAGCCAAATAGCTCATATATAATGAATAGTTCTTACGCATAGAGTACGAATGCCTCCGAACGCTTATCGGCAAGCATTTTGGTTGTTCGCTTGGCTTGGAAGTGTCCAACAGTCGTCTCTTCAATCATACCATTTGCTGCAAGGTAACGAAGAATGCGTTCTGTGTTGCAAGTAAATGTGATCTTAGTGCCCTTGGACTTTTGCAGCTTCAGATGAGAGATGGTTACCCAGGAGCCGTACGTCAACCCTCAGATCCTTTGCCAGCTCCGAGGGTGTCCATACGGAGTCGTGCAGTGCCAACTTTCGGAAAAGACCAGTGTTCATTCCGAGCATGACAATTGCAACTCGCAGGTGCTATGAGGTGTGTCAGATGCAATACAGCATATGCTTTATGAAGAAGAAAAAAGTACCGAGTTGAATAGATCCATGATCATATCCATCGGACTCAGGAGATCCGGCAGAAGCGAGCGAAGATCATTATAAATGCTGGCGCGACCTGGCTCATCAGCCGTGAGGGCCAGAGTACGAATCTGGGCGATGATAGTGTCCATTGGTAGCGAAATGTATTGTGTTGTCTTTTGGATAGTAGGAGGACTGTAGCAGCATGGCTGGATCTTATAGGGCTCCCTCTCAGGGTTTGGCTCTACCCGCGGAGATTCCGCGGGCTACTGTCACGATGATTGGTCGATTGAGGGTAGTCTTCGGATCCTTCGCCACGCTCGTGTCGACGCTCACGTCTTGTTATTTCGCAGCAAGCCATCATAATCACTTCACTCGAAGACACAGACATCGAAAGAAAGGTGCGATGCCTCCTCGGTCACAAATACAGAAGCCAACTTCCCGCTTGAGGCCTGTATCGTGCCACTTTTGTCGGTCGCGAAAATTGCGGTGCAGCCGTCAGCTTCCCTGCTCCAATTGTATCAGCCGTGGAATCGACTGCGGGCTGTACTCGCCCCTAGCGTCGATTGACAAACCTCAGAATAGCAATAGCCACGAGACGGCTGATATTCTGACACGCCTGAAACGGCTAGAGGAGATTGTTCTTCCAACAGACCGACAGTCTAGTCGAGCGCAAGACCCCAAGCCAGATCGTCGTAGGAGTCGACCGCAGTTAGAGCGAAAGGATAAGCAGGCCGCGGCGGATGCGATCTGGCTCGAAGCAGAATGCGCAAGCCAGGTGTCTTGTGTATGTGTGCTTTCGGATCTCTGCAGAGGACCATAGCAACTAAATTATAACAGAGTTCAATCCCAACTGACACGACAACTTTTCGATCATGTTCGATATGGAATATAACCAGCGTTATGACTATTGAAGGTAGCAGTTTAGGCCACTCGGTCAGAAACTTCTCGATCCCACTTCACCAAGAGTCCGTGATCCTGCTTGAAAAATACTTGCGTGATATTACCTACATCCATCATGTTATTCTCAGCGGTCCACTGCGTACAATGGTAGACAACATCTACGGCGACATTGAGAAACACGCACCAGTAAGCCCGGCCCAGGTGGCACTGCTTTTGAGCATCCTGTCGAGTGCCATGTTCACATGGACTCGCAAGGACTCAGAAAATGCGCCCTTTGCGACTTCCGAGAAGGTGAACGCAACATCTTCCGTGTGGGTGAAAGGAACTCTTGACTTGCTAGATCACTGTCGTCGCATATCCCTTCAATCTATCGAGGCAATTCAGGCAATGATCATACTTTCCTTTGCCATCACTAATATTGAAGGTATCACTGCTCGATTCCGTGACCTGTTGTCAACAGCCATAACGGCAGCGCGTGAACTCTCATTGCACAAAGTCGACCATCAACCAGGGATAGACAGAAGAGAGGAAGCTCCTGCTGACTCTGTTGAACCTGAAATGAAGCGACGAGTATGGTGGTATCTGGTTGCTACGGATTGGTATGTGTCATCGCCCACCGCTGCTCTTGCCAAAGCCCGTTACTGAATGGCACAGGATGGCATCCCAATTCCCTGGTCCTCATAGAGGCACCTACAGCATCAATCCGCTACATATGGTGGTCAGAAAGCCTCGCAATGTTGACGATGCAAAACTTATGGCTGGTTCCCCCATCATTGACCGACCGATGGAGCAACCCACCGAAATCTCATACAGCCTTCAGCGTATCAAGCTAGCGGAGATTTGTCGCGAAGTCATAGACTCTTCTTCGATGACCACATACAATGACGGAGACATGGAGTCTGGGCGGCTTTTAGGCGTGGACCAGAGGATTGTTACATTCATTGAACAACTACCATCTTTCTTCCGCCTGGATGGGGATGCCCTTGATGACCTGATCGCCAAATATCCAAACATTGCATCGGGCATTATGATCCAGCGATATATCATTAATTCCTTGGTCCACTCACAACGGTGCCGGCTGCATCTCCCATACTTAGCCCGCGGCTTGGTAGATCCGATGTATGCCCCCTCAAGAGAGGCTTGTCTGGAAGCGGCTCGGTGTGTCGTCCAGGCGGAGAGGATGCTAGCAACCGAAAATATCCCTTTCGTGCTTACGAGACTGAAGTTCTCCGGAATCTTGCAGTGCGTTGGCATCGCAATTACGGCCCTTCTCCTGGACATGTGTCTTTCTCAGGAACCCATACTTCGGCAAGAGCGCCGGGCGGAAGTAGTCAATGCATGTAGCATTCTAAAGGACGCCACAAAAGACTCCCCGGTTGCAATCAAGCTCCTTGAGTCTTTTCAGCGAGTTGTGCAGAAACACGATATGTCGGTCAGCGAGGTTATTTCCGAGTCTCTCTGTGCCGACAGCAGCTCAAACAGCCTTACCGACATCAGTGCCGACGACCAGGACGGCATACCAGTCCTTCCCCACCTGGATGAGATTTGGCAGATTTCGCAAATAGATGCGAATATCCAAGCATTCGATTGGGATGCCTTGTTCCTTGAACTTGATTGTCCAATGTTGTCGAGCTAAGTCGAGGGGGAATAATTCCTCGGTCATGCCACAAACACTTCTTCGCAGCCTGAGGCACTAACAGTTATTGATTACCAGCCACCCAGCCCAATCACGTGGCATGTATACTAAAGGCTAAACAGTAAAGCAGGTATTGTTGAGTAGATGCCCATAGCTGCAATCTGCTTGCACATAGAGTAGACTATCAAAGACGTTACAAAGTATGATTTTTGTTTCACGTAGAAAGCTGGCGAGTAATTGCACATCTCTACCTCAATAGGCAGGAGGCGTTTGAGTGGGATGAAGCCGTGACAGAGATGATCACCGGTTCCTTAATTAGCTATCTGAGCCATCGTCATGGTTGCAATGGAATGGTACTCATTGAGTGACAAATTCGGCCTTTTCTAGCCATTCCATCGTTGAAATTAGGACCAGAATACGGGATAATATCCGGTTCCTGATCCTGAGTCGAGTGGTACAAGGGAAGAGAAGAGCGTAAAGTTGATGGAGAAGAGTGGGGGGCGGGTGACATCATCTGCATTGGGGCGGTGCAGGCTGGCATTAAGCAATTCCCCCCAATGGCCCTTCTGCCTGTTTCTCCCTCTGGCTGCTTGTTTCTCCCTCCCCGTGTTTCGGCTGTCCCGCCTCGACCAGCTGCAATCTCTCCTGCTGGCTGGCCATCCCTCCCATCGCATTCTTTTACTCCCAGTTGCACTTCCGACCTTGCAATGGCCGCCGAAGAAGATCCGCTCATTCAGGCCCTGCCGCCGGCCACTGACTACCTGACCTATCTCACCCTCCTCGAATACCAACTCACCCCCGCCCGCCTTCCCATTCTCCACAAACTCCTCCAGGATGAAGTCCTGACGACGAACATCGGCTGGGACCTGGTGCAGCTGTTGCTGCCCATGTTGCCCCAATCCCTCGATTGCCTGCACGACATTGCCCGCCTGGGAAACCCAAGAGAGGTGATATTGCGAGTTTCCGATGCGCTCATGCAGTTACAACCCGAGGACGAGGATGATGATAGCGACGATGGCGCGGCTAAGGCTGATGAAGCGCCGCAAGATGCTACGGATGGCGGATCGAAGAACGCGGCCCTGCCGCGCCATATCTTGCAATTCAATACTCTGGTCTCGATGCTATCGGTCCTCCATTCCCGTATCCAGACCAAATCCCCCAGTCGGTTCCTAGCGACATCGCTGCAGGCTGTACTGGAGGCATATACCCTCATGCCCACGAACGAGACGACTTATGCGTTGCTGGAGTTCTTCAGAGACGTTTCACCGTCCAAAAGACCGGCTCCGCCACCCAGAGTGCCCAGCGAGTCCAGCGTGTTGCGTCTCTCGGAGAAATCAGCACCTGATCCGGAAGCAGAGGTCCAATCCCCTTCCCCGGCAAGTGATGATGAATCGGTTTTGGTTCAGAAGTTCCTACAGTTTGGCCTGATCGAGGCTCTCAAGTCATACCTACTGAGCTTTACTGGGCCGTCGGATCCGGGTATGTCCTGGGCGATTAGACTACAAGAGAAATTGCAACCCGGTTTGCGTCTGGCGAAGCAGGAAACACCGAGCGATGCCTTTGCCAATCATAAAGAGTTGAAAGAAAGGGACATGATCATTGCTAAGATCACGGTAGGTTACTGACAACTTGCAATCTGGGTTTCACTAACGGCCGCAGGCTCTATCCCGAGATTTCGGTCTCAATGACAAGAAACTTCTTGAAATTGCCCTCCAGGCCCCGAAGGACCAGCCTCTCCCTCTTGACTTTGAGGAGCCACCAAGGAAGGCGGACGAGATTCCATTAGAAAGACACGGCTCCTTATTGCTGCTCGCGGCGCGCGCGGCTACCGCAGAACTGTTCTCATCTGGCCAAGTCAGCCCGATCGTCATATTCCCTGACTTGGCACGGATCTTCCAGAACTTTGTTGGAGGGTACAACTCTCCAGACGAAGTGGCATTCGGACAGCCCCAAGTGCTGCTGGACTCTCTGCTTACGCTGACCGTCTTTTCCATGCAAAAGCCAAGCGACACGCCACCCCATGAGAAGGACTTTGTTGACTTCGTGCTGACCTTGACTGCTTGCACTGCACGCCAAAACTATAGCTCCGTGCGGCGTATTCCTGGGACAATCATCCAGACGCACCCCTCACAGGTCACTCAATTCAAAGTGATCCGAACTGTTCTGGAAGACGACCGCTTCCAGAGCGTCAAGGATAGTGCGATTGGATGGCTCAAGACTGGTATCCTCGAAGCAGCAAACTCATCTAAAGCTGGCACTTCAGCCGAGCCCAGCGTCTACCTCGACCCGCATTACTTCTCGGTGGTGTTCCCCTCCCTCTTTAACTCATCCGACCTGTTCATGAACGTATCATCCGACCTCGTGGCTTCCTTCATCAAGTTCTCCCAGACTCTATCCCCCTCCATCCACGCGGCTCTCAGCCTCTACTACACCATCGTATCGTCACCGCACCTACGCAAGCAGCTCCAGCTCGAAAAGACCTACGTCTACTTCCGCAATCGCTTCCTCGAGCCGCTCAAGTCCCTCTGTCATGCCTTCGAAGCCGACCTGGCGCAAAATGGCGGCGACGGGAAGATCGAAGCGGCGGTCGGCGAGAGCCTGAGCCAAGTAGGAATGGCGCGATCGGTCGGCTTGATCTCATACATGCTGGAACAAGTCGAAGATGCGGTCGGGGAGGCTTTTGTGGACGAGTCCGACCTGCCCGAGCCAAGTGCGGATGATATCGCGCGGGTAGATATGATTCGGAAGGAGACGTCGCCTTGATTGTAGGTTTTGTACATAGTTGAATCTGGCCTGAGGGTTTCAATGTGCAGGCCTATTGATACCTCTTGCTATAGTATGATGAGATAGAGCTAGTGGCTAAATATATGCAAGCTGCTGCTTATGTTGATATTGATAACCTGCCGTGTTGCAAACTTTTCATTACTCGTGATACAATGACCTACTAATCACAGATGCAGCTACGCAATATCCTACCTTTCTTTGACCACATACATACCTATATCTCATTCCCCCTTCCGAACAGGAACCCCATCCCACACATCCCCAAAATCGCCCAAATCCCACTCCCCCACGCAAGAGAAATCATACTCCGCCTTTTGAAGACTATCCTTCTGCGCCCGTAGAAATGCGTCCAACTCGCACCACCCATCACTCCGGAATGAACACTCCGGCAGACTCTTATGTAGCGGTACCGTGCACTGGTTGAGTAGGAAATGCACATATTCAGTCTCTCCCGTATGCTTCATATAAGTGTCCTGGTGACGATCATGGTGGCTACGACGCGGGTTAATCTTATGTGGGGCGCGGATGATCTCGATGTTAAGACGGCCGGCGAAGGGTATGATTTTGGCGGTTTGGAAAGCGTGGTGGCGGGGTGGATAGACATCCATAAAATTTTGGTTAGTATAATCAGGAAACGGAAGGTCAGCGAACTGGTGTAGTCCGAAGGCTGTGAGGACACCGAGGAGAATCTTGTCGTGTGCGAAGTCGAAGTAGAGTGATTGATTGGTTGGGAAAGTAACTGGGTTCGTGTTCAGGGTGAGGTTCGCAGCAGAGGATGATCCCGGTGTCGAGAACGAGCGATTCTCAACCCGTGCTAGGAATTCCTGTACCCAGGTGATGCCCATTGCGCGACTGATGGGGCATTGAAAGCCTGCGTTGCCGCCGAAGGTGAGATCGTAGGTGTAGGAGAATCCTTCCCATTCGGGGAAGGTGAAGAGCGAGCACCAGGGGCTGTAGCCGAGGGCGACGGTTTCGTAGGCGCATAGGGTTTGCGCGTTGAAGCTGTCGTTGGTAGTCCAGTGGTAGTCGATAGAGAGATAGTTGAGGTGGTGGGTTCGGTGGGAGAGGTAGTGGGTTTTCCATTTTGTGACGGTGTCGGATACGTAGTCGTCGAAGGATATGTTCATGGCGTTGGGACAGGCGTTTTTGGCTTGGAGGGAGGTGTTGAAGTTCTTCTCTTCGATCATGGCGAGTAGATTGACGTGCTCGTCCCAGTCTAGGTGGAAGAATCCCGCTAGGAAGTTCTCGGCGCTCTTGAGCATGCGGTCTTGAGTGGTGGTGCGCGCGACTATCTTAGTTCCTGGGGTGTAGAGATGGCCGTAGTTGAAGAAGTTGAGAATGCCGCTTTCTAATAGGTCTTCTCGCCCTCGCGTGGTGAGCATATCGGCTCCGAGGCTGTAGGTCCAGTCGTGGATGAATGAGAGTTCGTCTTTGAATACGGCCCCGTGGGCTGTAGCGTTGGTGATGGCCTTGATCCAATTGGAAAAATCATCACCTTCGTCCTTGTTGGGATAGCGTGAGCCGTGTCGGTGCAGCATATGCATTTGCGTGATGTTCGAGCCTTTGGGGCGTGGGAATTCGTCCACACCGAATCCATCCGCTCGGGGATAGTAGGGACTATCAGGCTATGTAGCTGCATATTGGAAGTAAGACATGGATGAATGTACCTCAAGATTCCCATGTGATGGAAAATATTGCGATCTTTAGCGCCCCGGATGGGCTGCGACGTCTCCAGTGGGTGGTTGGCTGTGTAGGTCGCCGGATTGCCAAAGGAAGCAGGGTTAGTCTGCGCCAGAAACGGCGCAGCCCCGGTCGCCGTGTATCCTGATATGTTAGTCAGGCAAGAGGAAAAGTACAGTCACACACCCTGAAAGCTTTGTGGTCGGGTCTTGAACCATTCTGGTTCTGTGGTGGTGGGTGCCACTCCCATCACATATTGATCGTTGGCCGAGACACACAAGACAAGCAGAAGAAAGAGAATAGCCCAGTAAATGCGAGACCTCATCGTGCAAGAAACCTCATTTCTGAAGGCGCTGATGTTTCAAGTTGGGGAAAATAACCAGTCTAAGGGGCGTAGGTAGCTATTTACGTCAGTGCATCTGCCATGGACGTACACTAAAGTTTGGATGTCGATGTCACCAACTCTGATTGGCACTGGGTTTCTGTGTTTGACCCTGGATATGACGGGGGTTGAGTACCGTGATGGAGGGGATCCCATATACTGGAAACCATGATTCGTCTGAACCGTGGATGGTGTCTCCGCACTTCGCTTTCTTACCTCATCATCTACCCAGTGCTCGTTTCTGTTAATATCTTATTTCAAATCGGACATGAGACCACTGAAGTTGAGATACTACCAGTAGTAAGGAGACTTCCGTACGGCATGTTCGCCATGTTATACTATTCTCACCAAAAGTAGGCTTCATAAACCACATTCAGATGAAATATACTCCACACTCACGCAGTAAATCTCTTTCTTGATATTAGTATCCCAATATGAGTGATATTGATCGGGTTGACACTGCTGGATTTGTTGTTTGAGCTCTCGAGGGTTAGGTTCGCTCTGAAGGCTACAGATGAGCCCAATAAGCATTGGTTCGCAGAATTCATTAGTGGATGAAGATCGAACCGGCACGTTGGTTTCCGGTATCTGCGACCGTTAGACTAAGAAGCGGTGGCTTTGGATTAACTGCTCATGAATTTCCAGCCTAGATCGTCGCAGGAGAGAAGACTCACTCTCGGAAACAGTGTGGAGAAGCCCCAGGACTAATGTTCAATATTAGCTGCAAGATAGCTAACCTGGGTGAATCTAATCGAACAAAACAACGTACACATGCGGCTGTTATGCAGCCATGGGACCAATTGCAACTCGTTTGCGGCTACGAAGCCTCATTGCTGTGGCTAAGCCATCGTTATTGTGAGTGTACATGAGATGTGCATTTTGCTGCAGCAAAGTGGGAGTAGTGTGCATAGCGTCTTGGATTGTGGCTTGGTCGGACTGAATGTAGGAAGAATCAGATCTAGGATCTGGCTCATCGTGGTCGTAATTCTAGGTCAGCTAGTTGCAGCAAACAGAGTCCAAGCTGGAGTATCCCACGAGTCGATCGAGTTTGACGATGGAGAAAATGTGGGACAGGCTCTAAATTCGCGCTGGGCACATGACTGGCTGTATTCGCCTTCGCCTTGGATTGCTTGACTTGCTGCAACTTCCACGTATTGAACATTGATTATGAACCAACACTACCTCATCAAAATGTAGACAACAATACGCCTAGTGGCCTCGAACGTGAGCCTTTCTCGTCTGTGAGGAATAGCTAACGTGGCAGACAACACTATTTTCTTATTGGTATTCACTCCCAGAGAATCCTTCAGCTTCAGCTTCTTTGGGTCCAGGTGGGCTGAACGCCACCGCAATGGGATATCACATGCAGCAATCGCTCCTGGAACGCAAGGCACAAGGCAGGATCTGATATGTCTCCGGAGAACCGCACCATCCCAGTGCGCTCCGTCCGATATTATGCTCCTATTTGCAGGTCAACCGCAGACCGGGTGGATATATCGGAATCGTGCATACACCGACGAAGAGATGATGAATCCCGCAAGTTGAGCTACAGGTCTGGTTGCGGCTGTATTCCGGCTCCCTGAATATATAAAGCTCGACGAGACGCACAATCACCTTTCATTCCCATCTTCATATTTCAAGTCAATACAACACGCGCCCTGTCATTCATCATGGAGTGCTCAGCAGCCTGGATCAACTCAACCACAGTCGACGAAATCTCTGTCCGCAAGTCCGGCGCGTTCACAACCTTGCCAGTGCGTATCAGCAAGTACAATGAAATTGCCATCACTACCGCGCAAAAGCTTGCTTGTATCTGGGATACCATGCGCTGTGGCAGTGTATCTTCTCGCCCCGTCAATTTTGGAAGGAATCTGCTTCCCTTGGTTGTTCCTGAGGCCTTGCCGGAGAGAATGGCAACGGCCGTAAAACTGATCGAATTGGGCCATTTGTGTGATGGTATGTACGATTCTTGCTTCTGTTGCACACAGCTAATAGTGTAGTCTTTTCCGATCAGCTAGATTCACAGAGCAGAGCGGAAGTCTACAGTATGCTGACCCGATGTCTGGATCGGTGCTCTGTAGCTTCGTCTTGCTCTTGTCCTAGTACATGCAACAAAGAGTTTGGCGACAGACAGGCTCAGCTGCGGACACTGATCTATGAAGTGGCCACTGAAGCTATTCAGTTCGATCGTGAACAGGGTATGCTTATCCTTGAGCTCCTTGGGAAAGCTGTCGCACCGGAGCCAATGTCCTTTGGATGCAGGAAGAGTTCTGCGTTTAGGTACGTCGTCAACAGCCATCTCTCAGTTGTTGATATCTAATATGACTTAGGACTTTCTGGCCTATCCTCGAGTTTGCTATTGGTATGAAGCTAAGCGAAATGGACCGGATACTCCTCCGAGACATCAAGAACGTGGTTGATGAATGCCACATGCTGAACGATGAGTATTGGGGTGCAAACGCGACTAGCTCAGGAGTATACCAAACAGACTTTGGCAGAATGCCAAGTCTTTCTTTCGAAGGAGGAAAGGAAAGTCTGAAAAGCCGGATCATCGACCTCGAATATCGCTACCGGGCTCTTCAGGCAGAAGTTTGCGGGAAATACCCTGTTGAGTCCATGCGGCTGCGCCGCTGGATCGAAGCCGCTGGAGTTGCAATGGCAGGCTACAATTACTGGCGTGCTTTATCTGCAAATGGACCTTGCAACAGCTTGTCTACAAGCGCGTGCTCCTGCTCTCCATCCGAGTGGACACGGGTTACCACTCCGGCCTCCACCATCTCCTTCTCATCCACTCACACATATTCCGGAACCTACGATCGAGGCGAATCCACAACGCTTACCGCCGTCACCAACTACATCAATTCCATGCCACCGTCTTCCTCGGTCCAGACACTCAACATGACCCCCTCCGCATTGAATCAATGGACACGCGCTCCAGCTCCAGCCGTCCAGTGCATCTCGTCTCTTATAACATCTCTATATAACGCGACCACAACCCTGACCGATATCACCGCGGACAACACCCAGCGTTACAACCAGCCCACTGCACACGCCGTCTTCGGTACCATGCAGGCTAGCAACAGCGCCTACTACACCTTTATCCAGTCGGTTTCGGAGGCACGCGCCCTGGCAAACCCTGCCCTTGCAACCGATATCCTCCTTGGTGGCTTCAACCGTCTGTATGCCGGTCACAGCCGTGAGCTGACCTGGAAGTACAACGCATGTATCCCATCGGAGGCTGAATATCTTTCCGTTGTCGATGACACCACGGGATCACTATACACACTTCTTGTCAAACTCCTTCAAGCTGAAAGCTGCTTGCCATTCCACTGCAAGCCTGACCTCACTCCCCTGGCCACGCTGCTAGCCCGCTTTGTCCATGTCAAAGAAGACTACCTCGCGTTCCATAACCGGGAGAGCAAGATGAGTGGATTCAGTGATGCACGCGTCCTCTCGTACCCGGTTATTCGACTGGCTAATATCAAACCGGACAGTCGGGCGCAGATCTCTCGATACCTCTTTGAACGCAAGGATGCAAGCAAGAGTGGCTGCTCCTGTGCAGAGGAGAAGAAAGATCCCTGCGGCAACTCCGTGAACTACAGCTGCCTGGTGCTTTTGCTACGCGAGTATGGGGCACTGAGTGCGACACGCGAACTTCTCCGTGATATAGAAGACAAGATCGAGAGGGAGGTGATGCAGATAGAGAAGTTGACGGGAGAAGTCAACCCTTTGATACGGAAGCTTATTGCAGGACTACGCGAAGGCTTGCTGCCATAACCCACCACCGCCTATGTTCTCACCCGCCTTCAGCCTACGAAGGCACCTACGGAGTATATAAGAAAGCATTATAGAATCGAATATAAATATATTGACTCTATAAAAGATATATAATAAAATATCCCCTCAAATCCTATCCCGAAAACTGAACAATAACTTGTCCAAACAGTAAGTTAAACATGACCTCCCGAGTAAGTAGTATCCATTAACCAAACCAAAACCACCAACCCAACATAAAACCCAACACCAAATAGACCATCCAGTTTTCCATAATCATAATATCCAAGAATGCGGAGTATAAAAAGAAAGGAGTTGGAATAAAAGACCAAAGACAGGATCGAGGTTCAATATATTGCAATAAAGGTAAAAAGTTCAGCGCCACGTGCAACGCAGCCCAGGGGCATATCTTCCCCCGGTATTATTTTGGTATTTTGTAGAGTTGTCTTTTTGATCTGAAATGACTTGCGAGGTAGATAGGTAGGTAGAGGGTCCGAGATAAGCGGCCATGGGTCTCTTTTGATGTTGGATTTGAGGATAGTCACGGCGAACATAGACTATCCTTTCATATTATTATCGATTGACATTGCAAGTTGGCGGTTTGGTTGGGAACTTTAACATGAAATGGAATAAATCGGGTTTTATCTCGTGGTTAATGCGGAGGATCTTTACATGACCACGCAGCCGCCACCGGGGGAGCCGGCTATATCATAGATATATTAGCTTTGTTTGCATGACCATGTATATCATACTCTCATGTATAACAATAATCAGAGGAAGGAAGAGAGGGAAGGAGGTAAGTACCGCAAGAGACAGAGTCCTTAGCAACTTCGTAGGGAGACATGGTGATTAATGGTTGATTTGCGTTGCAAAAAGTTTTCTTTTTGAAATGCTTGTTTTGTTTTTTGTGATGAGGAAAGAAGATCGAGGTTTGAGGGGAGTGTGAGGGGGTTTATATAGATATCTTACTCTGCATAATTCTTCTCCTGGTAGGAGGGAGTTCATTGAAGTCTACATTGATGGATAGTATGGGTCTGTGTCTGTGCTATGGGGTAGGGCATCGGGTCCGGATTCATCTTCGTGCTTCATGATTCAGGGAGTGCGTTTGATTGGATTGAGATTCATTGGATTCGGATTCATGAATGAATGAATCAGTGTCACAGGGTCAATCCTCCAAAGGGATAGGTGTAGAATACCATTCTAGGTAGTTGATTTGATCGGAGATTGTCAGTTCGGATTGTCGGGCATTACTTCAGGACTTTTGATTGGGGGTGTTCTAGTGAATACTAGCTATGGCTTCAGTTTGGCTTCTATTGTTCCTGGTGTGGAACTAGTCCTACAGAAGCTCTATCAGGACCGAGGGTGAGATGGATGAATACGAAAGGTACCGGATTCTTGCGGGTACCTGCTGAGAGAGACTGTCTGCATTGGGGATGGAATGTAATCCAAATGATAGTGCTGTGCATTGTATGCAGGCAAATGCAGTACACGTGGGTACATCATCCAGCCTACTCTTAGAGCTGAAAGACATCTCTCACTTCAAGGTACAAGAATAGCTTGAGCAGACAAACATGCAGTCAGGTGTTTTCCGAACTCGGGACTTTTAGGTGCAAAGTTAGTCGACGGGAGCCAATCAGCACTAGCCGCTTAGTATTGTTCTCGAGAACAATATCAAGAACATCAACCACACTTCATCCGCTTCAATCAAAGAATCAAATTCATGGCTAGTACTCCCTATCTAACAAAGCATGATAACTGGTAATCGGCTTATCTCGTCAAATCAGGTGTAGATGGCCGTCAATCAGTCAATCAAGTGTAGATTGGCTCCGTAATCTCATTCAGCGTCAACCCCTCCTTCGCCACATCCTCCTCAATCAGGAACATCAAAGGCATCTCCACCAACGTGCCCTTGACCTGGCTGAGCAGTTCTTTGACTTGCCTGACACCCTCCGGACCCGGAGGGAAGTCGTCGCGGACCACGTGCCCATACTTGTAGCGAGCAGGTCTGGACTCGTCCTCGCCATACGCCTGCTTGTCCGCGTTGTGGAAGTAGTATCCGTAGAATTCCTTGTACGTAGCCCAGTTGCGCACCGTGTCGTCCGGAACCGAGTGGAAGACCTTGCGGAACACCTCCGTGTTCGTCCGAGCCCGCGTGTTCCACATACTGTGCAGCGTATCCGCCAGCGGATCGGCCACAATCTGGCTCTCGGGTGACTCGAAGTCGGTGGTGTTGGGAACGCCCACTGGCTCGAAGTTGCCGTCCGGCCGCTCCATGTCCTGTGGTGGCAGCAGTCCCAGGTGCTTGCGGAACAGCTGACGACGGAGGGAGGTAGCGAACCGGCTGGCAGTCCAAGGCTGGCCGTTCATGCGGGACTGCACAGGGGTGTAGTCCTCAATGACGATGGCAATTTCCGAGTCGTGAGTTCCCAGTTGAGAGCGGTCGTTCAAGTTAGCCGATCCGACAATGGCAACACGGTCGTCAGCAATCATCACCTGCATCTTGTTAGTTCTGCACTTATACCATGTGAATGGCTAACATACCTTGGAGTGAACATAGAGTTCCTCGGTGACAAACGCATCAATCTCGGCCTCCGGAGGTCCGTTCCAGGGCACATTGCGAATATCAGGGCCATTGAGCATGTAGCAGCTGCTCACACTATCCCACTGGCCAGACTTGCCGCCCACCTGCTGGGCAGCTTGCTGGTACTGCTGGTAAGGCGCGGTGGTGTCGAAAGCTGCCCGCGGAGCACCAGGACCATAACCACCAGGGCCGCCGGTAGTCACATCGTGCTGTTTGCGGGCATCCTCGTAATTGACGCCGCTGCTCTGCTCAGCCTGCATCAGCGGGCCGCTGACATTGATGCGGTCGTAGTTACGCAGGTTATAGAACCGGATGTAGTCCATCGGGTTGAATCCCTCCTTGGCAATCATCTCCATGATGCTGCTGCCTCCGCGGTTGATGCAGTTGTACTGGAATTCCATGATGGCGCGGGTACCAAGGGTGGATTCATCGCTCAAATCTCCGGCAAAGCAGGGGACGGAGGGAATCACGACGATGATCTTGAACTTCTCACCAGCACGGGCAGCGCGCAGAATGCGCTCCACAATCGCAACACCGATCTTGTTCTCCACCGGCTTCTGCGCGTCACCGGTCGCTGTGATGAAGAACTGGTTCTCAATGTAGATAAAGTGCTGACTGTTGCGAATGACCGCAGCATACGCATCCTGAATGGAGTGCTCGGTCGGAGTGCCGTTACTCCACTTCGAGCAGCTGCGCACGATCTGGCAGGTCATGTTACCACGGGGCTGATTAACTTGACGGCTATGAGTGGAGAACCGATCCTGGTACTGATGGATCTGGCCTGCCAACTCGCCACGCAGGACGTTGCCGTAGTCCATGAAGTTCTCACGCAGACGGCGGGGGTTGAAGCCCCTCTCAGAGTCGCCATATCCGCTCTGGTGCGCGTCGTGAATACCGCGTGTTTGCGAGTGGTGGACTTCCTGGTTCGGGGGAGGCGGATAGTAAGGAGTCTGACTCTGGCCTTGGGTGGGTGTCTGGTTCTGAGGCGACGGCTGCTGCTGCTGCTGCTGCTGCTGGGGGTTGTACGCCTGGTAAGACGCCTGCGCAGAGTTCTGGGCTGGCGGAGGACCAGGAGGGGGTGGGGGGAACGAGTCACCACTGTAAGTGTAGTGCTGCTGTGGGTGGGCCGAGTACGCAGGAGGCTCAGAGCTCTGCTGTTGCCAGCTGGGCTTCTCCTGGCTGCCAGTGGTTTGTGCCTGGGGTTGGTAACCGCTGGACTGCGCAGGCTGCTGTTGCCAGCTAGGCTTCTCCTGGCTGCCAGTGTTTTGTGCCTGGGACTGGTTGTAGCCGGTGGGCTGTGCAGTCTGCTGTTGCCAGCTGGGCTTCTCTTGGCTGCTCGGGTTGGGGGAAGGACTGGCTGCGTAGCCTCCCTGTTGAGGTGCCGGTGCCTGCTGCTGCCAGGTAGGTGTCGCGGGGTTGGCAGTGCTGGAAGGCTGAGTGTTGCCGGTAACTCCGGTCTGCTGCTGCTGCCAACTTGGGGTAGAAGAGCTGCTAGAACTGGGTGCCTGGGCACTAGGCTGCGACGGAGCGGCTTGTTGCTGCCAGCTAGGAGCAGGAGGACCAGGATTCGCCCCGGGCTGGGGAGACGCTGCCTGCTGTTGCCAGCTCGGGTGGGGAGGACCAGTGGCACCAGGCTGAGGCGACGCGGGCGGTTTCTGGGCCTGACCACCCTGTTGGGGCCCTTGCTGCTGCTGGGGGCCTGAGGTCGGCCGGCCGTACAGGGCCAATCTGGCGTATCTCGAGTTGTTGCGCGACTGGTACTTGGAGTCATAGATGAAGTTCCACCGCTGAACAAAGTGCTTCCTCAGATCCTCGACGACCGGGCCGTGCAAACTGACCGAAATATCGGACCAGCCCATGCGAGAAGTGTCCTTGCGGTCCAGCTGGTTCTGCTCCCAGTGGGCAACGTCGTGGAAATCACTCACTCGGGCGTTGTTGTAGTCCTGACCGGGGAAGACAATCTTGTTCAGGTCTTGACCGTGAACATCGGCCAGTTCATGCTGGTTGGTGTCCCAGCGGCCAAAGCACATATCCAGACCACCCATGAACGCAATGCGACCATCAATGAGGCAAAGCTTCTCGTGGTGAGCCCAGTACAGAATCACATCCTCGTGCATGCCGTAGATGCCCTTGATGGCGTCTTCGGACATCTTGGCAAGGTTGCCGGCATCGAGGGACAAGTTCTGGAGAGACGTGTGGATGGACGCCTCGAGTTCCTGACGGTCGGGCAGGTGATCGGGGTGACGGAATACTGCAATGTTTTCATGGAGGTCTTCCAGATGGTGCTTGGTGTGGTGTGAGGAGACTGTCAGTAGGGTCAGTTTGACGGTTCACGCAACAGACGCACAAAACATACGGGTCAGTGCCTGCGTCACCTCCTTGTACACAATGATGTTCACCCGGACTCCGCGCTGCGCCGCAG